CTGCTGTACATATTACGTGGACAGCATACTACGTCTAATCATGAAAGTGTCTTGAGGACTGCACCAAAAGATGACTTTAGGCTGGTAGATTACTAAAAAAATATGCACAACGCTCTGAAGGGCACGGAGTAGCAGCCTGTGGTGTACTTTGGATGAATAAATGTTGAAGCACGCTAAGAAATCTCAGTTATTTTGCAACACTCACACCAAAGCTGCGTAGCTTAAACGTACATGCATCATCTACACATTTCCAAAATGTCGTCACGCATGTCTTCCAGCGTTTGTGTTATTATTTCACATATAGGCACTGATCCATACTTAATAGCTCTCTTCCACAGCGTTATTCTTCATATAGAATCCCGCCGTTGAATTTCCGGATCAAAATGACAGTAGTATCAGTCTAATAAGTAGGATGCCTTAGCGACAGGACTTCCCGGATTATATATCGACATATCATGGTATAAGAAGCTTCTGACTACCAATTTACTGCGCTTTGTCTCTACCATGTGCTACTGTATGTGGGTCCTGGTTTGGAGTCCATGTTGCCTGAGTATTAATTATCCACGAATGTATGAACGATCGCTGTTTGGTGTCATTAGTAAACATAGGTTGGATCCATCTGAGCTGGAGTGCTGATTGTTGTGCTTCCGGGAGTAATATTGCAAGGCCCCCTTGTTTGCGAGGTGGTGCCAGTCGGTGAAATGCAATTTTGGGAAACATCTTTTTAGTCAAGAAGTCATGGCAAATGCTGCGAACTTTCTTCTGGAATGCTTGAGGGACCGCGCAAGCTCGTAAGACGTGCCAAAGTGATGATAATATCAGCACATTCAGAATTGTCGCTCGACCTCGAATCGAGAGTGACCGGTGCGCATGGATGTTGCAGGCTGATTTGATCTTGCCTAGGAGTTTGTCCAGGAAGCCATCCCGTTGCTGCGGCGATTGATACAAAGGATATCCGAGATATACCAAGGCTTGATGGGCTCGTCGATCGAACCATGATCTAATGCCCATTCCCTCCAAACACGAGCGCAAAGTGGATGACGACTTGCCAGATAGCGATATGGCGTGCGTCTTGTCCATATTGACCTTGGCGTTTGATGCTCTGGAATAGGTGTCTAAAGTGGTGGCGGACTTGTTGCAAATCTGATTCATTATGAATGAAAACAAAGCAGTCATCGGCGTAGGCTAGAACCTTTAGTTTAGTTGGAGACGGTGTGACTGGGGTAAAAGCTTTACTGGCTGCCATCGATATATCATATCCGTGTAATTGTTCATCGTTGAGGATGCGGACCAAGAAAGGCTCTAAGGCCAGATTGAACAAAATAGGCGAGAGAGGGTCTCCTTGTCGAACGCCACGTTGTTGTTTAAATGCTGGAGACAAGGACCCGTTAATGTTGATTCGTAGATTGCTGCCGAAGAAAAGAGTCTTGATAGAAGAGATGATCTTTGCTGGGAATCCCCATTTGCTAAGACAACATTCGAGATATTCTGGATGAACGCGGTCGTACGCTTTTTCCATATCCAAAGATAAACCGACGTCATCGGCATTTACGCTGGCGGCATGGTCCATAGCAAGTCGTGCAGCAAGCCCATTGTCTGCGATGTAGCGTCCGTGCACGAAACCCGTCTGATACTTGTTAATTAATGCATTACTAACACGGACTATTCGTGAGTTCATGATACGGGTAAATATTTTAGAGTCCGTGTTGATCAATGCAATTGGACGCCAGTTTCGTAGTTGGGAGAGCTCCCCTTTCTTCGGAATGAGACAAATACATGTGTCTGACCATGATGCTGGGAATAGTGCCTGATGTAAAGCTGAATTGTAAATATCAACAGCCATTCTGCCATATAACGGGTGTTTGAAAATGGTAGACAACATGTTATAGGGCAGGCCGTCTAGTCCCGGACTGCTTCCTTTCGGTGCACGTTTGGTTGCGTCAAGTAACTCGTCGAGAGTCATGTCTTCTGTTAAGATGTCGCAAGAGTCTTGTGAGAGCACGCATGATGGCGGTAAATGGTCCAACAGGTCTGATATTGCTGCTGCATCAGTCGGTTCCGGTGAGTATAATTGTGAATAAAATGAACAGACTGCTTGATGCATATGATCAATCGAAGAGTCTACTATGCCTGTTACTGGATGTTCTAGCTGGAGGATGTTCCTTTGTGCCCTTCGTTGTTGTGCTGTGCGTTTTAGATAGCCGGCCGATATTTCGCTACGCTCTCTCCAGCGGACATTAGCTTTGATAGCTAAAATTCTAGCGTGATCTTCTTGAATCTTGTTGAGCTCGGCGGTAATATCAACAAGGTGCTGAGGTCGACTTCCTGTTGTCTTGAAATGGCGCATCATCTTATTACGTTGACGAAGTAGGTGTTTTTCGCGATGGTCTTTTTTCTTGGCTAGATAACGTCCATATTGACGGCATTCCTCTTTCGCAATCTTTTTGACTTCATCCCAGGCCTCTTGTGGCGAGGCTATGTTGGCAATTCTTATATGTGCCGATGAGAGTGCTGAATTCAGTTTTTCTTTAAACTGTACCGAGTTGACAATAAGTGGGTTGGCTCTCCATATGTCTTGACCCTGCCGGATATTACTGGCCCGCATGCTGATCACTATCAATGCATGATCTGTCCAGTTGCTATTCACATGGCGGACATCGGGTGCCGAACACAGCAGGGAGAGTGATGATGACGCAAAGATATAATCAATTGACGATGTGCCTCGTCCGTTGTAGAATGTCGTCGTGAGGTTATTGGATCCGTCCGACGGCAGCATCAGGTTGACAAAGTTTTTATTCAAGTGTGCGCACCACTCTTTTGGTGCTGCTTTCATAAATGATGAGTCGCGCTGCGCATATGAATAGTTGAAATCTCCAAGGATAAACAACCTATCACCATGCGGAATCATATTTGGCTGTTGCAGGATTGGAAGGAGTTCGAGACTATAAAAATCTTTCCGATCCATATAAAAGGGAGGGTTGATCTAATCAGAGGCCATAGTCTCCGCGGACGATTGACCGGTGATCAAGTCGTCGGCCTGCTGTGGACCGCTGTCGGGGGACGTTGACTCAGTGGCGTCGAATTTGTTGTCGTCGCTTGAGTCTTCACTTTGCTGCTGCTGGGGATTGTGCTTCGAGGCCGAGGCACCCGATGGTGTGCTGATAGGCGACGGGTTCCGGTGCTCTTCAAGTGTGAAGGCGGAATCCGAACCTCCTGTTTCCGACGGAAGCGGTTGGGTAGCATCCTAGGTCAATGCATCCACTTCGTCCGAGCAGAGTATCATGTCTTCTGTTTCATCCTTATCAGTTTCATCATCAGAGGATGATTGAGATGATGATTCATCGTCTGTTGGGGGTGTGAATTCTTCGTCTGAGGTATCCGTGTTGTCGCTGAGTGGTTCCTCGGTGACCATGGGTACATGTTTAGGCTGGGAACTTCGACGTTTTGAGTTCCCTTTGGGTTGTTGCTTTGGTGTGGCCTCGTTGACCTTCGAGTGTAGCTGAGCCTGGTTTTCACGCTCTTGTTCACAATTCAAGTTTGGAATGGTAATCGTCGTTTTGTCCAAAGCTGACTTCGAGTGAACATTATGAGAGCGATGATCAGATTGTGTATCACTTGAATGTTGAGCTGGTGGATGCGATTGTTGGGTTTTGGTCTTCTTTGGACCTTTGCTGGTTGTCGTCGACTTTATTGGCGATGCTGAACCAGTCGTCGTCTTTGGTTGTTTGCGCGGGAGTGCGTTGTGTGGATGATCGCTTCCCTCGCATAGTGACCGATCATTCCACAGTTAAAGCATTCTGGTTGAACGCGGCTTGGACATTGTTTCAGAGTGTGGTCTTGGGAGTGACAGTATCGGCAGTAATCACCCATGGATTGCCAAGTAGCGTAAAAAGACCGTTCTCGGCCTTGCACGAGACCGAAGTCGACCTTGTAGGTGAGGGGCTTGTACGACTCTGGGGTGGTGTTCTTAGATTTCATGAGCACTGCGTATCCCTTACCCTGGAACCGACCACCCTCTACAGAGCGGTATAATTCAAGTTGCAACACGTGTCCGAATTGGGTAAGTGTTTGGCGCAACAAGACCTCCAGCTCATACATTTTGACGTCTGTAGGCAGTTTTTCGAGTTGTACTTTGGTGAGATCGTGTTCCGGAGGGAGCGATCTGACAGCCGGGAAGTGAACATCACCGACGGTAACGCCCTTTTCCAGTGCCAGGTTGCAGATGTCCTCGTCTGCATAAAGTCATCTCATACAGGACTTGTTTCTTTTCGCGATGGTGGATGAAACCTATGGCCTCATCCCAGTTTTCAAACGTTTCTCGAGCTGCTCGGAAAAACGCGTCCTCTTTGACTGAGCGTGTCGACATATCAAAGAAAACACTGTATTCTTCCGTTCCTCGACGAAGTAAATGGGATGCGATTGGTTGACCGTCGGCTGCCATGCTGCCAAGTGTCATTTTTACATCTTCAGGGACGTATTTGTTAAGCTGGGTTATCAGACGACCTCAACTGATTTCCGGACGTTTTTGGGTAACTGCTTGAGCATAGGTTCGTTTTGGATGTGTTGGTGGATTTTCCTTGGGTTGGTTGGAGTCACCGTTAGGAGTGACCCCAGGCACTTTTTGAAGGGAATCGGGAAGAGCCATGTCAGGTACATCAGTTAGAGCCAACCCCAACTTTGGGATTGAAATTCCGCCCCCGCTCGTCGCCGCCGGCGGGCGCAATCAGGTTCAAGGTCAAGGCATATAATGGAACTCCCTCTTTTCGTACAAATAGTACTAGGTGCGTATATATGGAAAGAGAGCAAGATTGGGGGATGGATGGATGGGATGGATGAATAGACAGACGAAACGAATGGATACATGTGAGGCTCAAATGGATGGATGAGATTTTTTGACCATCACAAAGGAAAGCAAAAGGGATGATGGGGATATACACACATCGATACAGAAATGGGTAATGAGGAAAATGATGCTGACATTTTTTTCTTCCAGATTAGCCATGGGTCGCCGTCCCGCTCGTTGCTACAGATACTGCAAGAACAAGCCCTACCCCAAGAGTAGATACAACCGTGGTGTCCCCGACGCCAAGGTTAGAATCTTCGACTTGGGTCGTAAGAAGGCTCACGTTGATGGTGCGTATTACATGATATAAAAAATAGGGCATGCAATTCTGGCAATGCTTTGCAAAAAAAAAAGAACAGTAAACTAACAATTGTGAATGCTTTTGTCTTTATATATATATATATAGACTTCCCTCTTTGCGTCCACTTGGTCTCCAACGAATACGAACAAATCACCGCTGAAGCTTTGGAAGCTGGTCGTATTTGCTGCAACAAGTACATTGTAAAGACCTCTGGCAAGGATTCGTTCCACATGCGTATTCGTGTCCATCCTTTCCACGTTGTCCGTATCAACAAGATGTTGTCGTGTGCCGGTGCCGATAGATTGCAAACCGGTATGCGTGGTGCTTTCGGTAAGCCCAACGGTTTGGTCGCTCGTGTCAACATTGGCCAGGTCATCTTCTCCGTCCGCTCGCGTGACTCGAACAAGGCCGTTGTCATTGAGGCCCTTCGTCGCTGCAAGTACAAGTTCCCTGGTCAGCAGAAGATCATCGTCTCCAACAAGTGGGGCTTCACCCCTCTTAAGCGTGAGGAGTATGTCTCGGCCCGCAAGGATGGCAAGCTCCAGCCCGATGGTTGTTACGTCAAGTTTGTTCCCCAAAAGGGTCCCTTGAACAACTACTTCCGTGCTGCTAGCCGTGTCTAAAGAAAAGAATCACACACACTTTCCCTGTGTCTTTTTTTTCCCCGATTTTAAGCACGAGTTTTTAAAATAAAAAAGTTGGCGGCATGATTTTTTGTTTGTTTGTCTTCTTAACTTTCAAAATTGTTGGATGCGCGTTTGAGAAAAGAATACACTCAAAACAGCATTAAGATTATATCAACATGCAAAATGCGAAAGTATTACAATGAAGATGTGTGTATAAGAAAGTAATGGATGTTTGTCGGTTTTCAAAATGGGTGTGTGTATAGGTGGATAGTAGATTGAGAAATGATGGAATGACACCGCTCGCTTCCTCCATATCCAGTTAATAAGTGTTATGGTACAGTGTGTCATTGTTCTTGGTATATATCTCTCTCTCACGCATATCACCATCCATGTTCGGCCGTAATAGATGGTTTAGCGTCGGGTATCAGGTGTAGTGTTATCGGATGTGGGCAATCGCTCATCATCACTCATCCTGCCTCCGGCTAATTGTGAATGGAGCGATATGCCACAAAACATGGAACCTTGCCTCCTTATGGAATGATGACTGGATACACTGCTATGGTAAGGCTCATCGTCGTCAACTATCATACGAGCACGGTCGCATAGGAGCGGTGTTGTCTCGGCCAATCCTCTGCCTTTATGACCCCTTGATGATGTTGATGCTGAAGAAATGTATGATGAAATGGAGCAAGGTGTTGATGGTCGAACGGATATGGAGGGTGGATCATTACTGTTGTTGTTCATGTTCACAGTGGTGATATCATCATGTCGAGGAGTGCTAGATGGGTGTTGCTGCTGCTGCTGCTGCCATCCTTTAACATGATTATTGCCATCATCCACCACAGCAGCAGAAGAAGAAGAGGATTTTGATGCGTGTCGACCTGATGTAATCAGATATATTCCCAAAAACTCGGTAAGACATCCTGCTGCAAATCTATGCAAAAGCAAAAAAAAAAAAAAAACGTTAGTATTTCATCAAGTTGACTGTTTGAAATTAATTGATGAAAATTACCTGGCAAGATCCGCGGGATCATCGTCGTCGAAATCTCGATAAATAACGGCACTTCCTGCAATGGCTGATAGGGTGAATAATACGAATTGGGTAGGAATAACGGCAGTCGAATCGTATCGCTGCATTGCCTTATTAAGGTATTTGATCTGTAGAATGGCGGTGTAGAATAAAAGGACGAGTAGAATGTATGAAATGGCATAACTACAATGGGAATAAAGACATGAGTAATCTCCTTTTTTCGATAGTATGTCATCCTTCCGCTCTTTTCTTTATATACACTTACGTGAAGAGTTTGTACAATGTAATATTTAGCATGGAGGAGAGGCTTTTGGTGGCAATGACGGTATAGGCGCCTAATAATGGCTCATTGTTATATGTATGCGTGTCTCCCAGGATCGATGCGCTCAAGTCCATTCTTACCGTAAAGTGCCACCAAACCCAGGTCGATCAGTATGTTTTTCGAGCCGTACCGGGGCGATACAACGGTGAGTAAGATAATGAGACCGCCTGATACAATGTAGAATATGATGGAACGTGGTTGCATGAGCGCTGCAGCAACCAATTCAGGTGACAGCTGTAAATTAAAAAAAGTTGTTACACATGTATTAACAGATATGCACTGATAATGGACGTATAACAGTGACAACAACAAACAAAAGTACCTTGGTCTCTCTGTGTTTTGTACTGGATACAACGCCGGCAGCACCTAGCATAGCCAACAAGACACCAAAGAAATCTTGCTTGCGGAAAGACTCGTCGAGAAGCAGTGGTGCAAGAATTGTGTTTGATATCAAAGTCGTCGTGCCAAGTGGAGCGATTGTGGATGCGGGAGCGAATCCATAAGCTAAATTGGTGGTTTTATGTCAAGTTTTTAATACTTTCTTTGAATTGCGTTTCTTTTGTTTTTTGTTTTTTTACCAATAAAATTGCCACTTTCGCCAATGCCAAGCAATATAATGCCTAGCCACCACACTTTGGATCTGAGATATTGAGTGGTTGCATTACTATTATCAGTGTGATGGTTATGATCGCCACACTCGATGCATCCATCATTCGCTTTTATCTGAGTGTCGGAATACAAATGCTGCTTTCCAGGGGCGGCGACTGCATGGTCCGAGCAAGAAGATGAGTGTGAAGATCTTCGCGACGATGCCGATGGAAGAATGTCACGTTTATTATTATTACTACTTTTATTATCCTCTTCGTCTGAAAGTCGATTATGCTTTTAAAGACAAAAAAAAGTTGAGTCTTTTGACATGCTTCCCCTCCCTTTCATTCCATATTATACGATTGAAGTTTATGGGCAATCCCAACCAACCAACCCGACTTGTTTTTTTTTTGTTTTACTTACTGCTAGTTTTTGAATGTTCAAGGCAAAGGATATAAGAATCTAGAATAATGTTCGTCAAGCTTTCTGCAGAGCGTTGGGGTGATGGTATACACACACACACGTACATTGCCACATATAGAGAGAAGAACGCCAATAAGAGTGTCAGTCTCAGCAGTGATTTCTCGGCCAAGTAAGCGCAATGTGCTCATGGCGAGTGAAAAGAAAAATAAATATATTGAATGGGAGTAAAATGAAAAAGAAGCAAAAAAAAAAAAAAACGATTCTTAAAAAAGGAACTGGTTTAATAAGTTAAAAGAGACCTTCTTGTTTGGAAGGTTTAAGAGATGGCTATGCAAAATGAGACTCAGCGCTGATTACTGTTTGTTTTGCTGTGACATGCCACTCACAGCATAACGCCCTTTCATTGGATTATGGCCCCCACAGCATTGTTGTTGCATTATACGTAGCATTATAGTTTAATAGTCACAGCAGCAAGAAGAGGGAAAAGGCAACCAATGCGGCAGGTGATACGGTTGCATGTGGGTCTGTGTGGTGGTGGCAGGCAAAGAGCACGAGCAAGTCTTTACTTTTGGAAGTCAAGATCGTCGAATGGATTGGCCATTTTTAGTTGGATGAATAATAGGACGCTGAGTAGAATACAGTACTACTATCATACTACTACATACTACAAGAGAGAGAGAGAAGCGCGTTGGGTGTTGCACTCGTTCATTACATTTTTCAGGTACCGCCTTTTGTTGCAAGGTGAGACAAAATTACGCTAGTGCAGTTTTTTTTTTTTTAACGACTATCCTCTCTCTCTCTCTCTCTCTCTCTCTCTTTTTCTTTCGTTCTTTTACTCGTTCCTTTACTCAATTACTCCACTACCCTCGCCTCAAGAGTATTAGAGAGACCTACAGTCCTCTCCATTTCTTTATCTTTCCTCACCCGATGGAACCCGTGGACAGCACCCAACACGTTAAAACTGACTGGTTAAAACAACAACCACAACAAAAGCGGTCGTCCACCTTCGCGTCGCACAGTCCTTATAGTGTCAACACCACCAGCAACAACCCAGTCTCCTCTTTGACCATGCACGAGCGAAACATGATATCAAGCAACACAAATAAACCATGGACTTCCATTGCCGCCACCGAAGTCCATCAACGATCCCTTGCCCCGTCACCCACGCTCTCAGTATCATCCATCATCTCCTCTTCATCCGGCCCTTCCTTGTCATTACCAATAAAGACGAGCAGCATCGGCTTAAACGGTCAGTTCCTTCCGCCACTCGACCTCGAACCGCTCATGATCCATCCACAAGACGACGAAGACGAAGAAGATGATGCTACCCACAACGATCCTAGTTCTTCTTTGATACGAATTCGCGAGCTTGAAGATCAACTTGCACGGGCACAAGACGAAGCTCGAACATACAAGGAGCAATTGGCTCACCAGAACCAAACAGCGCAGCGCATGCTTGAAGCATCGTTGGTCGAAACGGAAAAACAAACCATCGAGATTCGACAGCTTGTGGATGTTGTCAACAAACAAGAACGACTTATCCACTTGTTACATGAAAAAACATCAACATCTTCATCATCTACCTTTTGTTCAGCAGCAGCAGCAGCAGCAGCATCAACATCATCATCCGCAACAACAGCATCACAATTATCATCGTCGCCACCTCCTCCCCCACCTCATGACGAAGAATACACTTACATGCGATGCCAAATAGTGCAGATGCGTAAAGAGCTAGATACTTTAAACAGCGAAAAAAGGAGTCTAGAGGCACGCATGGCATCATTTCTGGAAGAAGAATTGGACGATATGACCATGTCACACGAAGATTTGAGCACGTTTGGATATCGTCATCAGCGACACAATTCAGAGCAACAGAACCAAGAGATTTTACAGCACTTGGAGATGCGACGACGTAGCAGTAGTGTCTTGGATGCTGATCAGTACAGTCTCATGGCATTTGGCGGCACCTCACCTCCCAATCACCATATACAAGTCAGTGCTACAAACAGCAGCGGGTTGCTACCCCCATTGAACCAAGTTCGAGAAGAAGAAGACGAAACGGATGATGATGATGATGACGAGGATGCCGTTTCTCGATACTCTTCTTTTGCCTCTTCACCCATGACAACTACCACATCCTTTCATTCACCTTCGATGGCATCGTCAAACAACTACTTTATGAAACAATCATCATCATCCTCGTCTACGGGCGTCCGAGAATCTATAGCATCGCTTTCTTCGCCAACCACTGCAGCAGCCAATAATGCTGCCCGCAAAGCAGCTTGGGCTCGTGTCATGCTTCCTGTGACCGGTGTCATGCCGCCAGCAACGCCACCTCCTAGCCATCCGTTACCACCTGTACCACCCAACATCATGGATGGCGACGACGACGACGACGACAATGCATCGGATCATGGTAGTAATATACCAGAAGCACCAGCAAGCAAGGACAATGATGACGACACTAATCAAGACAACCGACAACAAGAAGAATATGTCCCACCTTCTCCGGCCACGACCCGTTCTTTCTCACCCGTATCCTCCAATCGAATGTCGATGCATCCTCTTGTCATTTCCACTTCAATCAGTACCAGTAGTCATAGCCACACTGCTTCTGCTGCTGCTGCTGCCAAAAAGCATACGTCAGCCGACGCTATTACTCGACAAACAAGAGCAGTACGATCCATCTCACCACCACCCCCCTCCGCTCCTCCAACGGTATCGCCCCAATCATCAAGTCTTTTGGCTGCTCTCAACAAGAACCATTCTGTGGACGCCAATCTCGGAAGACCAATCGCCACAGGCGCATCATCATCCGATAGAGCATCCGTACCAGCAGTAACAGAGAGAGGCAGTTTTTGGAGGGGCATGAAGAAAAAGTGGAAGAAATAAGTTGTTACCTTTTGACAACCCGTTGTACATTATCAAAATTGTTCTTTTCTTTTAAAATCTAATTATTACTATCTACTACTACTACTACTACTACATTAGTTTTAACAAAATAAATACATGCATTTACAAGCCATTCTCGCTATTTGACAATGACGACGCTATAGGTTTCATTTCTTCAGCGCGCCGTCTCCGTTCACACCCACACACACCGTCATCACCCCGGATATCATTTGCACAATCAGAACAACAATAAACGTTCTTGTTTGCTTTGGATGTGCAATCTGTACAATACAACACCAAAAGATGACAATAGCGCGTTCCACATTTTTGATAGACGTCCCAAGGTGCTTTGCATTCTTGACAAACACTGACAACGGTGGTGATAACTGACTGTGGATCGTCTGCTAGCGATAATGCTTGACGAGCGTCAAAGACGTAATTCTTGCCTAGCCAGAGGGAAGGTTTGTCATCCTCGTGTCGTTGTGTTTTACACCATTCAATATAGTTATGGATTCCACCCTTGAGCATATGGATTTTGGTATCGGGTGATAACACCTGGTGCATGTATGCCGTAGCCTTTTCGCATCGAATTCCGCTAATAATAAATGTCAGTATTTTTTCTTTTCTGATACACAACAAAACATGATTTTTTGTCTTTACCCTGTACAATAAGTGAAAATGGTTTTGCCTTCCAACGACGCGCGATTCCGATCCACATATTCAGGAAACCGACTGAATTTGCGGATCGCAGGTGTCACTGCATCTTTAAACAACCCAATCCGACTCTCGTAATAATTCCTTGTATCGAGCAACACCGTCTCCTTGTTCTGGTCATGGTGTGCCAATACCATTTCATGGAACTCGTGTGGTTCCAATTTCTTGATACGACTCGACGCTGCTTGGAGTTGATTCAACCCCACCAGCGACGGTCGTCCCAACGGACAAATCTCATCCACGACTTTGATGGACAGGTCCGAAAAAACGTGTCGACATCCTTTGGATGGTTTGAAAAAATGATAGCGTCGTTCTGTAAGGTTGTTGTTGTTGTTATTTATTTTGGCGAGATTGTCCTTGATAAACGGTGGTGTTGTCGTAATCCAATCGAGATACGTTTCAATGTCAACGCTTGTTCCTGCCAACGTGATATTGACGCCTTCATGGGCTATACGCACTTTGCCGGTCAACTGTTGCTTTTGACATATATTCTGGTGTTGTTGGGCAAATGCATCTGGATCGTCTACGGATACATATTTGTAGAATAAAATGACTCGGCAATTCTCAACGTCGCAGTCGCAGTTGTTCACATTGATCGGATCAGAACTTCCCTGTTCGAAGAAGGGCCCCCCAATGTCAGAAAAGACTATCTATTTTGAAAAGAACCAAAGACGGTATATATACCTTGGGTGCTCGTCGTTTACGAAATTCACTCTCCATGCGTCGTTGCTGTTGCTGTTGTTGTTCTTTTTCATGCTCTAATCGCTCTTTCCAGAGCCGATCTTGCCATTGCTCAATGTCAGCAGTATGGTCTGCATGGACATGACGTCCAATAGCTTCATGGGTATAATAATCAGTACCACAGCAGGTCCAGGTCGTGTCGTCCGTCTTTTTAGCACGAATAACTCGCTGTATTGCTACGCTTTTGATTTTGCGTTGTATATCTTGTACCATAACAAAGTAGGCTTTTGTTTCCAGAGGTAGTGAGGTATTAATAAATGTAAACTATATCGTCGCACATGTTTTAAAATGCTTGGATTCCGCCACCTACCACCGCTTATGTCATGGACAACTTGACAATTCAGGGACCGTGCAACGCTCTCTTTGTTTGTTGCCAGGTACATAACTCAGGTTTGCAAAAGTGGTATATACACAAGAAAAGCAACCCATCATAGCTAGGCCACTTTTGAATTTTGACATCGAGAAGGGGAACTCTAGAGGCATTACATACCGTTGTCATGTCCTATCCATCTATAAAGAATAATAAAAAAGGAGGGAAAAGGCCGGATGGATCTGCAATTGACCATTGCTTTCTCTTTCTCTCTTTTGTTAAAGTGGTGGTTTTTTCTATATCCACCACCATCATCATCATCATGGATAATTTAAAAAGAAGACATATTGCACATCCTGAGGAGTTACTGAACAATACCGCCGTAGATGAGCCCACCTATGAACGTATTTCATTACAAGACGATGAGGACGTGTACGCAGAAAAACTCAAGGCACAGCGTCAACGTGGCTATCGTCAAAAAGTATATAAGGGGACGAGAGCAAGAGGGAGAAATGCACGATTGACCCATTCAATGTTTATATAGTATGTTGCCTGGACAATACAAAACACACACGTCATTGTACCTACTGTTTTGACGCTATTGGCATTCTGGACGCGGTTCCGAGACATTGATCGCTCTCATAAGGTTGTTTGGGATGAAGCGCATTTTGGCAAGGTAAGAGTGCATAATAAAAAAGAAAACAACATCTCTTTATCATGGGAGGAACTCACAAAAGCTTCTCTGTGTGTAGTTTGGCTCCTATTATTTAAAACACGAGTTTTATTTCGACGTCCATCCACCTCTTGGTAAAATGCTGGTGGCTCTTTCGGGATGGCTGGCCGGTTATGATGGATCATTTAGTTTTGAGTCTGGCAAGGAATATCCTGAAAATGTGAATTTTGCTGCTATGCGCATTTTCAATGCTTTTTGGGGCGCGCTCATCATTCCAATGGCATATGCTACGTCTCGGCAGCTGGGGATGTCAATGGCTGCGAGTACTTTGGCAGCAGCTATGGTGCTGTGTGGTAAGTTGTGTTAACTTGATTAAAGTCGTTTTCCCTTTTCCTAACAAAAACATTTTGTGCAGATACGGCGTATCTTTGTATCAGTCGATTCATCCTGTTGGATTCAATGTTGCTTTTCTTCACCTGTGCTTCGCTATACTGTTTGGCTGGAATCCGTAAAGCGCGTCATAGGTAATATACATATCGTCTAAGGTTCTGTTGACGTGATGCAGAACTAACACAATGTTTACTTTTTTTTTCTCTTATTGCATATGTTTATAGCCCGTTTTCAAAAGCATGGTGGTTTTGGCTTACCATGACAGGTGTGTCTTTGGGTTGTGTTTCCAGGTATGTTATCAAAATTTTTGCAAGAGAGAGAGAGAGAGAGCAAAGCGGTAAAAATGTTAACATCAACGCCTATTTGTGTCATGTACACCAAAGCGTGAAATGGGTGGGCTTATTTGCTGTTGCTCTTGTTGGCCTTTACACCATCGAAGAACTCTGGGACCTATTCGGCGACCTCAAGCTGCCCAAACTAGCCTACCTGGAACACTGGATTGCACGCGGTGTGGCATTGATTGCTATTCCAGCCATCATCTACATGGCCAGCTTTTTTGCTCACTTTACTGTATTGAACAAGAGCGGTCCCGGGGATGCTCAGATGAGCTCCTTGTTCCAAGCACAGCTTGAAGGAAACGAACTTGCCGAAAATCCAATCGGTAAAAAAGAAAGAGAGAGAGAGAGGCTCAAGCATGTACATAGAACTGATAATAATACTTGCGATGATACAGAAATCGCGTTCGGCTCTTCCGTGACCCTCAAGAACAATGCCTTTGGTGGTGGTTTACTTCACTCGCATGTACAAAGGTATCCTGAGGGTTCCATGCAACAACAAGTCACTTGCTACCACCACAAGGACGGCAACAATGACTGGATGTTCACCCAACCCGATCCAAACAACAAGCAAGCAGAAGACGATCAAGCAGCAGTGGAGTACATTGGTGACGGACAAGAGGTTCGACTCGTGCACAAAAACACCAAACGTAAACTGCACAGCCATGCTATTCCAGCCCCTGTCACTGTCGACCAATTCGAAGTAAGCGGCTATGGCGATGAAAGTGTGGTCGATATCAAGGACACTTGGCGGATCGAGATTGTCGACGACATTGCCGACAGCCACGCATCCAAAGACCGTGTTCGAGCCTTGTCTACTCGATTCCGTATCCGTCACGTCCATCTGAACTGTTTGCTTGCAGCGCACAATACGCTTTTGCCAGCGTGGGGATTCAAGCAAATTGAGGTGGTCTGTGATCGTGACGCAAAGGATGATGATCCTCACGCTTGGTGGAATGTGGAAGAGCATCAAAACGAAAAGTGTATGTTGTTATCAAAATCCTCCTCCCACGATAGCAAGACATTGGAAGCTATGTGTTCTCTAACGAGCAACAAAACATTACATTACGTTATGATTAGTGCCTCCTGCGCCAAAGAGTGCACGTCGATCCAAGTTTTTCAATGACTTTGTTCATCTTAATGCGGCCATGTGGCGATCCAACAACGCACTGATCCCAGACCCGGATAAAGACGACAAGCTAGCATCGGCACCTTCTCAATGGCCACTCGTCTCTATTGGACTACGCATGTGTAGCTGGAGTGATGAAAACGTAAAATACTTTTTACTTGGAAACCCTGTTGTCTGGTGGTCAAGCTTTGCTTCTCTTTGGGTATTCGGTGTTGCGGCTGGCGTCTACAACGTACAAATGCGACGTCAATACTGTGAACTATCTGCGAGTAAGTCATACTTTATGTATCTCGGATAGATTGATAATGATTGCTAAGTTTTGTATAAAAAAACAGATCAATGGGACAAATTTGTTTCTGTGGGCAAGATGCTTTTCCTCGGATGGTTCTTGCACTATATCCCATTCTTCATCATGGGTCGCGTCACCTATCTCCACCACTACTTCCCTGCCTTATACTTTAGTATCCTAATGGTCCCGTTCTTGATGGATCATTTCACGCAACGGGCTACACCAAGACGGCGACAGATGGTGTTCACCATTGCGTTCACTGCAGTGATTCTCACGTTTGTGTATTTCTCGCCTTTTGCTTTTGGCATGCGAGGACCAGCGTCAGAGTATAGTGGTCGTCAATGGTTCAAGGCTTGGACCATCACAGAGGCTTTATAAGCCAAATAATTTATGGAAAGAGGGCACTCTGTAGCTTCATCTTTTCCTTTTTGTATATACAAACATTAGTGATTTAGCTAATAAACAAATATCATATCTTCCGTCCGGTACTTTTGCTGCTGCACATAGCATAACCCTGTGCACTATCATTGGCAGTATCGTCATATGTACTACACAGTGAATCATCCAATTACAACTTTGACGAGAACACGAAAACCCATGGTGGTAGCCAATAGTACTTGTCGCTGGAATTCCCCTTAAGCCACGCCTTTTTTTTTAAACCAAGCGGGCTTTAGTATAAAGCAGTTTTGACATATCTCGAAACTTTTTTTTTCTTCCCTCCAATACATATAAAATGAGCGTTCAAGGATTCTGGGGTAAATTAAAAAATTACTGAAGGAATCTAGAACTTATGCACTAATAATAATAATAAAAAAAACAGGTCTTCAAGTTGTTCCAAAAAAGACTTACACTCAAGTTGTCGCCGCACCTTTCCGTGTTTCCATGGTAAGAAATAATCGTATATTTTATGATCTGTCATAAAGAGGAATGGCTGACCCACTTTTTTTTTTTTTGGTTATTTGATTCATGGATAGGCTTCATTGGGCGATGAAGTTACTGGAAAGGGTCGTACTTCTTTGTGCGTCAAAGTCGACAAGAAGGATTTCGTGTTGTGCTCGTTGTCACCCGAAAAGGTAAAGAGATTGACATCTCAAGTACGAGAGAGAGAGAGTGAAAAAGAGCTGATGCACACGCGATCGCATTCTTTGAAGATTCTAGCATAAAAAGTCTAAACTATTTTTTAATAACGTTATTAGACCGAGCAACAGCCTTTGGATATCACTTTTGTTGAGGGCGAAGAAGTCACCTTTACCGTCAAGGGTAACAAGTAAGTGTAGTTAAAATTTCTATATGGCTTTTCAGAGGTAATTGCTTTTATATTCAAACTGACGATCTTTTCTTAGCACCATCCACCTTACTGGTAACTACGTCTTTGACGATGATGAGGATGAAGGTCAAGACCTCAATGCTGCCGGGTAAAGATTTTTTTTTATTCAAACATCTCTTTTGTGTGGAAAAACAGAAATAGACGATTCTAATTTTATAATTTACAGCCTTGAAGCTCTTTTGAAGCAGCGTGGCATGTATGACGATGAAGCTGAGGTCTCAGGCGAGGATTCTGAGGATGATGAAGAAGAAGAAGAGGAGGAGGAGGAAGAAGAAGAGGAAGAGGAAGAGGAAGACGATGATGAAGAAGATGATGAAGAACCTCCAGCCCAACCTTCCAAGAAGCGTCCTGCTGAAACCGAACAGGAAAAGCCTGCTGCCAAGAAGGCCAAGGCCGACGAAGCTCAAAAAAAGCAAGAACAGCAAAAGAAGCAGCAAGAGCAAAAGAAGCAGCAAGAGCAAAAGAAGGCTGCCGAAGCAAAGAAGGCTGCTGCTGCTGAAGCAAAGAAGGCTGCTGCTGAAACAAAGAAGGCTGCCGCTGAAACAAAGAAGACTGAATCCCAGGTCAAGAAGCTTCCCAACGGCATGGTGATTGAAGAAGTCAAGATTGGCGATGGTGAGGTTGCAAAGAGCGGCAAGAAGGTTGGCATGCGTTACATTGGCAAGTTGACCAGCGGCAAGGTGTTTGACAAGAACACTTCGGGTCGACCCTTCTTCTTCAACCTGGGCCGTGGTGAAGTCATCAAGGGCTGGGACATTGGTGTTGCTGGCATGAAGATTGGTGGTGAGCGTAAGTTGACGATTCCTGCACCTTTGGCCTATGGCAAGCGTGGCGCACCCCCAGATATTCCTCGTAACGCCACTCTGGTTTTCGATGTCAAGCTTGTTACTTTGAAATAATCTTTCCAATTCCTGTAAAATGTACAACTACACACACACACACACATACACACATGTAATCCCATTTTTTCTTGTTTTTTATCTCATACACACACGCATCCAGAACCTCTCTTTTTTTGTTCTTTCTTTTATATAAATATATATAAAACGTGCTAAGCATTGCCCTTTTTCTATTCTATCTGTCTGCAACGAAATCAAAAAATTAGAGAATCATTGACAACCCGTTTTCGCATGCACAGTTGTTGTGGGCGGTGGTCGTAGTTATAGTGATGGGTGGTAGTGATGGTGATGGATGGGGGGTTATACTCTAAACGAAAAAAAAGCATCAAATGCTGGATTAAAAAATAGAAGAAAGAAATTGGAGAGGTGTGGTCAAATGGTATCGTTGAGGAATTTAGTAAATATGTGTAATGTGTATTCTTGGTTGTTAGTGGTCGGTAGTCCTTGCGTGCGGCAAAAGAAATACTTTAGCATGCGCATGAGCTACTTTCGTCCTTGTTCGAAGAGTCACTTAGGTCGACCTTGGTCACTAAAAAGTGTTCAAAATAAAAAAAATACATTATTTGTTAATATCAACTTTTTGAAAATTTAGGTGTTTTGACGTTACATTGATCACGTTGTCCATCGTCTGTGCCATTCTCCATTCCTGGTAACGCATGACCGATTTTACGGAAAAGTGCCTTGACCTATGATAACAAAGCTCTGCTTAGTTATCCATTACAATAACACGCCCAACCTTATATAGATCTTACATTGAATCCAGCTTTTGCGCTTGTTTCTATAAACATGACGTTGTATTCTTTCGCTTGGTTTTCACCGTCCTCCACTGACACTTGCCTATTTCAAATAATGTAAGTGTCAGGAAAATTATGGGATTGAAATGTCTCCAACCCAGGGGGAATGATGTTTACCGTTTATCATTCAAATCCGTCTTGTTTCCAACAAGTACAATAATGACATCTTTGCCACGTTCTGCCCGAACATCATCGATCCATTTGGTTGTGTTGAGAAATGAAGCTCGGTCTAGAGATACACACTGTTAGCTTTTTGAAGACTACTACTGAACCCCCCTACGGCGCGAGCGACATCCAATAACCACTCTACTTACTGCTGATATCATAAACAACGACGCATACGGATGAATCTCGGATGTAACTCGGTATTAAGGAACGGAATCTTTCCTATAATACGGACCGCGCCTTTTTAGCTTGTATAACGTAACTGAGAGGGTGTTGATGTTTTTATGTTATACCTGACCAGCTGTTGTTGTTGTTGTATATTTAAATGCATAATAATAAGCCAATCCACGGTAGCACATCATAAACATTAAAAGAAGACATGATAACTATTATCGGTTTAATTTATGTACCTGTATCCCCTATTATAAACGTTAAATGTCAGCTTATGTTTTTCGATGGATCAAAAAAATGAGCTACTATCTCATAGAAGTGTGACACCACTTTGTAAACTTACATAGCTGTAAACGGATCGTACGATCATCCAGATACATGGTTTTCGACAAGAAATCAATGCCGATGGTTGCCTTTTTCATAAAATCATTCAGTTTTATTATTACATATATCCCTGTAACCACGTAAAAGAAGTGTTATATATACCTGGTATGTATTATCAAAGGTATCGTACATGAAGCGCGTGATAAGTGACGTTTTGCCCACTGAGCCGCAAATACATATGAAAAATAAAAAGTGTGAATAGTTTATTCTTCTTGGTCTTGACTGACAAGATTGACATTTATAAAAAAGAAAAAAAAAAAACTACACGCATACCACTTTGTTCGCCCAAGAAAACAAGTTTGTACTTTTTCAAAGGATTAGCAATGTCGTTGGTTGTCATTTTTTTCTATTGATTTACAAAATGTCAACGTAAAGGAAAAAGAGAGAAAAAGAAAAGGGGTATGTGTGCGTTGTTAAAAGAAGAGAGGCAATTTTTCTTTTTTTACTAAAGAACCCTTTTTTTTCATAACCACCAAAGAGTCGATCGTGTAACCTACATCCCCCCCTCCCCCGTGCCAAAATTCATGACGAACTCCTGACTAAATGATGATGATGATGGTGACGATGACGGCTATGTGGATTAATTTCTGTGGCCCGTACTGAATCCAACTCTTTGACGAGGTAAATTAAAAGGGGGTACCGGTCACTTTCACTCTCATCTATTACATGCACGCATAAGCACAAATGGCAATGTATATCAACATAATAAAGAAGCAAGCATGGTGTTTTTTTTAAACAAATAGTTTCTTGTTATTTTTTTGGTGTGTGGTTTGGAAGAAAAAGATGGATCATGATCGCTTTCCCATTCATTCAAGAATAGTAAAAACACACAACATAACTTAGAATCTAAGCTTGCTGAAGAACCACTTGTTCTTGCCGGTCTGATATCTCTCCTCGAAAAGCTTCTTGATGACCTGTTCATTCACAATAGAACCATTGATGAGTATTCTTATATCCCTTCTGCAGATACTACAATCGTCGGATGATCATCAAAGACCCCTCCCCCTTTATTTTTTTTTACCTTCTTGGACTCTGATCGCTGGGTGGCGTCCTTGAAAGTCTCAGCAGAGACAGTACCCTTAATCTGCTCCAAGTCAAGAGCATAACTATGTCACAGTAATGTTAATAAAAACCATATCCCAGATCTCCCCCTTCTTTTCTTTTTCTTTAATATTTCTTCGCTTTAGAACTGATTCATTACCGAGTGGGCATCATGTGGTTGTAGTTGACAATCTTAACGAAAGGCTTGACCTTGGAGCGCTTGGCGAGCTTCTTCTTGCCCATGGCCTTGGTAACCTTCAAGGGGTAGCTTTCGATACCAGCGACGACAGCGTAGCCGTAGGGTCTGTCCTTGGTACCCTCATCGTGGTCTAAACAATTTAAATTTCGATTCCGTCAGTTTTATATTATTTGGGCGCGTATATATATTTTTTTCAAAATGAAAAAAAATCTCGGGAAAAGGGGAACGAAAATGCTTTTCGAAAGTTGACGATACATACTGCGAACGACGACAGCCTTCTTGCCAGCATAGCGACCCTGCAAAATGACAACGACCTAGACAGAATCGAGGGAACAAAAATTGGAAAAAAATCAGTTTCAATGCCGATTCAAATTGGGGCCAATGAGCCATCTCGGGTATAAGGTCGATTTGGGTTCTCGTTGATCGAATCGTTCGTGTTTTCAATCCATCCATAATCGTCCTCTACGCATCCATCCCCGTAATAGATAGTGTGTCGTGCATCGATACTGTATATGTACGTACCTTACCAGCCTTGATGAATTTTACCATGGTGTCAGAAAGTAAAAAAGAGAAAGTCCACTATTTCCAAGCCCACAGCTTCGAATACCCAGCCAGAGCCTCCCCCCTCCCAAACCCTCCTACCTCAGCCCGAATCCAATCAAATTTGGTACCCCGCTCCTCTACCCAGAATGCTTTTCCACTCACTTGAATCCACCTTTATAAACCCCCCCCCCTCTCTCGTGTTAATGCACACAACACGAGCATGCAGACCGAAGGTCCGTTGGGTGATGCCGAATGTCCAATCTGTCAGACCAGTCTGAGTCATCTCCGTTCGAGCTTTCAACGACAACAACATGTCGAACAATGTCTTTCGGGTGGTGCATCAACCGACCTCGCAGTGGCGACAGCAACACAAAATACCATCCACGAGAACAGCAATGTAACGGGTGGTGGTGATGGCGACTTTGACTATTGCATTTTCTGCGGCAAATGCATTACACATTTGCAAGGCATTCGTAAAGATGTGCATTTCAGTAAATGTCTTGACACGTTAGCTTTCGAAGAACGCGCTGAATCCAACGCGTCATTTGCTGGCCAGTCAATACCTGTGCTTGACAATCTCGATATTTGTCCTTGTTGCCACGAATTCGCGCCTATGCGCGACAAATCGCTTCGTCACAAAATCACACACATGAAACAATGTATCAAGCGACGCGGCATGTCCATGCAAAGCCTATTGCAAAAGCTCCAATGGATTCAGTGGGATTATATGCCTGAAAGGCGCAATAATAACAAACCACCGCCGCCGCCGCCGCCTACTGCTAGACGAATGCCACAAACGGTGATTCAGGCAACTCGTTCTGCTGCCGATTTTCGTGGATCAAGTAGTCATGGCATCAACAACAGTAGCTACATGGATAATGATGATGATGACGATGATTTTGTCGACTCTGTGATTGTTCATCGAAAAACCATCCAAGAACAACAATCGAAACGTGCGCGCCGTAATGACAACAGCGAGCAAGATGCGATGGATGAAGAGTTGCAGCTTGCATTGACACTCAGTCGAACCGAGGCGCAGCAGAACAAACGTAAAAAGATCAATCACGATGCAACGGATATTATCACCATTGACGAATCTAGGCGATTAGCGTCCTTACAACTTGAGCAAATGTTGGCAAGAAAGAGGATCGTACGTTGCTCAGATACAAAACAAACATTGCCATCGTCCCGTGTTAAAGCAACACACCGGATCGATGATGACCCTGCACTTTCGTTATGGAAACTCGCATCGCTAGACGGTAATCATCAATATGACGACCCTACGTTCATATCGCATTTTCTACGCATGCTCAAACAAGGAGAAGGGTCATCATCATCATCATCTTATTAATTGTAATTCGTAAAACATCAAACTGCATTCTCATAATGGCATCAGACATCTTGTACATATAACAATTGCATCTTATTATTACAATGAAAATATATACCATCCTTCTATTTATTTATTTATTTATTTATTTATTTATTAATATGCGCAATTGTGGAAGAACAATGAAAAGTATAAAAGGCGGTCTTTTGTTGTGTGTATACAGAGTAAGAGGAAGAGACAAGTTAATGTGACAAATCTTGGATTGGTTGGTTTATATAAGATGAGGAGGAAGAGAGCTGGTAGGTAGGTAGGTAGACAGGAATCGCAAAGGGAAAGAGGTGAATATGCACGATGTTGTTCTTTGTGTCGTATAAACAAAAGAAAAAAGTAAATGTTTGCAATATATATAATATAATATAATAAAAAAACACACAAAGAAAGAAAGCAAGGACTTTTTTTTCTTTTTTTAGAACGGCTGCTGCTGATCAAACTGTTGATGGTATTGAGGGCCATATTGACCCTGGGATGGTGGACGCGCAAAAGGTGGCGGCGTGTACTGCTGAAGCGGCGTCATGCTATTGCGATGCTGGTTATTCTCCAACTCATCCTCGGCCATCAATTCCTTGACCTCCCAAACGTTTTGCTTGGACCCCACCGAGAACTCCAAATCCTCCTTGGTGATCGAGTCCCAATACTTGTAGACCATCATGACGGCCAACAGGGTGCACACGGTGTTGAAGAACGTGCCGTCAATGTAATGCTTGACATTGTCGCAGATCACGACAGAGAAAATGTACATCAAGACCTGGCCAAAGATGAAGAAGCAAAAGCCAAACAGAATATCACCCAACGGCCAGCGATCGTCCAAGGATTTCAGCACCAACACGATCTGGGATATGACGTAGGTGATCAAAAAGATGCCGTTGATGATAATGTAAAAGGCCCAAAGGGCGCCTGGACTGCGTCGCGAAAAGGAGCCGAGTTCGACAAAGGTGCCGATTGCAATGAAACCGGTGAGGAGGAATATGATGAGCGAACTGATACGGATTGACTAAGAGACGTTGTTTTGTTAGCTTTATACTTTGTAATTGAAGACTTGAAAAGATGCAAAAATTAGTTACCCAGACAGATAATGGTGTACCGTCTTCGGCAAACTGGAATCCGACAAAACCGTTGCACATGAGGCACCAGAAGCAAGCAGTGACGAGACCAAGTTGTACAGCAGTAAACCACTAGTATTGATTGAAAACGATTTGATTGATTTAGCAACAACAATCTGCTGCTTTTTTAACATGGGTTTCCTCTCTTGATTTGTACCTGATATACGGGTGATGATTGTGGAATAATGCCAGTGATAAGAATCATTTCAAGAATCAGGGTCAGAAGGTACATGTAGAAGAAAGTAACGATTTCCTTTCGACCTATTTATTTACAAAACATGAGTATTTTCTCTTCAGTATGCTCTTTTTTACCACTAAAATAAGAAAAAAAGATACTTTACCAACAGCAGTGTATTTCGATCGAATGTGGTAAGTCATGAAGCCCACCATAACGATGGCAACAACATCGATAATTAACGTTGCTATAGTTATTCTTTTTGAGTCAGCGATCGATAAAAAAAGATTCCATTTGTATTGTGTGTCTTTTTCTTTTTTACCTGGTTGAAAAATCAGGTTGCCGGCAAGTTCTACATTGCGAGAGTAGCAAACGGGAACAATGCCCTCATCTTTGCCAATAACTGGACAGAGCGTCAGTGGGACTGTCCGACAAATGCCGTCAAAGCTGAAAGCGCCGAATTCAAAAGTGATCTCGACCATGTGATTAGGCGGGCGGAGGTTACCGTTGTTGTTGTTGTTGTTGTAAAGATTGGTTGATGGAGTTTCTCCTTGATATCAATGTATCTACACACAATCTCTCCCGCACGCGATTGCTTTGAAGAACAAAGAAGAAAAAAGTGTAAAAGGTACGGAAACGAGAGAAAGAAAAGAGAAGCTGGAGAGCCCGGTTGGTTGGTTTGTGTATCTAACCTCTATTTTCTCTTCCATCACTTCTATTTTTGGACCCAACTCCATCGAACGGTCGGGCGCGCGGAGGAGGTGGATTCCGCCCAGCCTTACTTTTTTTTTTTTGGGAAACCCTCAGCCAAATCAAAACGTAATTTAGACCCATTTCCTTTTTGGTTCTACATGTAGCCCACTCTACTTTCTACATAAACAAACACCGTCACACAAGGATCTGTCGATGAACAACTTGAAAAGTTAGATTATATCAAGTAGTAATGATGTCTAGATAAGGACAGTGCAATTGCGGTTGTGACCAGTAAATCCTAGTTCTTCTGGTATAAAATGGTATTTAGGTGACAGCAAAAAAAAATAAAAGAAGTGTACACATTCCCAACACTCCACCAAGAAATATGTGTTCGTGTAACAAGAGTGCCTCGTTACATACATCCCTTTCTTCTTTCATCCCAATATATGCTCCCAATCCTTAACGTGTATCTCACTGACGAACAACAGGGAAACCATGTTTTTCTTTTGTTGTCCCAATTGCATTGTTTTCCTTTTGAGGACATGTACGAAAACATTGATTAAGTGCCAGTTCTATACAGCCATCTATGTACACTATATGTAAACAATAACGAACCGCGATATCGCCTGCAGGTTCTTGCAGTAATTTGTAGCAACAGCGACATACTAGCAACTCAGATATTTAAGCCTATGCATATGTGCTGATGAGGTAGTTCTATTGTATAAAAAGCAGTTGTGATATCGCTTAACAACGTAGAAAACTTGTACTTGGACGGATGCCTTTCATTGCTTCTATATACACAAGTAGCGAAATAATCTCAATGTCATAAAAGATGACAGGTTGTAAATATACATACTATTGAGCAGAAATCACAGCACTGTTACATACCTATATCCTGATGATGTTGTATGAGAAATACGAAAGAAAACATCCCATTAGTGTATGTATAATGTATATCGCCAGCTATCACGCGCGTATTTCATGTTCATTTAGTTTATAGTTTTAACTGTGTGTCTATTGCGAGCTACGTTTAAGGCTTTTTGAAAATCTTTTATTTTTGACCTTGCGAAACCAATGGGATGCTTCGTCACACTGCATGTTGTTTACTCGGACTCGGTAGGGATGGGTTTTTAGATCGCTGCCCCCATCGTGAGAAAAGGCTAGAAGGAGGGAACGGTTGTAGCGCACAACGAGAAAGTTTCTAACTGTCATAGAGCGAAATGACATGTTTTATTTTTTTTTATCATATAATTTGACTTGTATTCCACTCCTGAGCAACGACCTGCAGATTAAGTAAAGTATGATAGGTCCGTGTTGTGTAATTGCTACAGATACATACATATACTAACTGACGAGTGACTTTTTTCAATGGGGTGATATACATGATGTACGACCAAAAACAAAAGCAAAATTTTGATTCTTAGTATACTACTTGGCATTACTAAATTATGTAATCCCACCCTTGCAAATGAACCATTTTGGTGAGATTATGTTGGTAGAGGGATGGATGTTTGGGATTTGTATTTTGTTGATTTTATAAGCCAGCATAAATTTGATTAATACGATGACTTCAAGTTCATTACGTAACAAGACAATTGGATCGTTCAATGAAGCGGGTATTATGTGGTTCACGACCAGGTGCGATAATGGATCCCATATCATGCATGTGCTCAATGCTCGATAATACTGGCTATCTCTTACAATCCAAAAAGCAGTTCGACGATGATTGTGTAAGCCATAGTTTGTACCCAAAAAGTGGTAGAAACTTTGGATGAATGAGTGCGATGCTTTCTGCTTTTAAACAATGTGCAAGTATGTGCAGAGGCATCATAAAACCAAATGTACACCAGGGACACACACGTCTCTAAATCAAAAAGTTTAAAAAGCGTGACGAAAGACAGTAGAAACTCTTGAACCTTCTTATGACTTACCTGCCACAGCAAAGACCAAAGTGATGACGATCATCATCACCAAAGCTTTCTGCTACTGATACTTGTCGCACATCGTCCCAAATATCGTTCGGATAGTTATATACGGTTAGAATCAAGATTTATAGTTCTTAATTGACTTTAAAAGGTATATACATGTTGGGTGATAATACTCCCTATTTAGGGTCAATGTAGCGGTTGCATTCAAATGTGAGTGCATAAATAAATCCGCTTTTGTTTATAATACGCCAAGTAATGCTTTACAACTCGGTAAGAAGCGTGTGGAGCAGGAAATTTCACAGTTTGAAAGCGCATTTGTTGTCTTTCTGTATGGAAGAAACAATTTTCCAGTCTTTCGTCGTAATTTGTTACTTTGAGAAATGGATGCGTCGATCTCGTCGTGAAGGTCTCTTTTGTGAATATTGATAGCGGCAAAATAATAACCATGCTCCTCCAGGGAAGCGAGGCTGTTACTGTGAGTCTGTTTTGCCAGTTTGCAAGATCCGCTATATATTGGTGCACAGTATGACGCTTATCAATATAATTGATATATCCGCTCTTCATCATATTAGCATGTATCAGACTATAATGCCTACATACAGTACTGGTTACAAATAATGAATGTACTCATGATAGCAAGAATATCATCATCTTCCAGCCCGTATATAGAGTCTCCTTGAATTTGTACTTTTCCTTTTTACAAAGCATGCCATGCTTGTGAATAAACTTTTCCATTTGCTTTTGCTTGTTGTTATAAGAGAGTATAACTAATCCATGACGTCGAAAAAAAGCTGGAAGGTAATTATGACCCCACTTTTATAGCACTACGACACAAAAGTGATCAATCGACCGCCACTTGTTAATGGTCCTGTAACTCTGAAGATATCATGGGCAATACTGTAATTTATGGATCGTCAATGACGATCTATATTCTTCATGCCCAATCTATATACGATAAACTGGGTCTGCTGAAACGCATCGCCAAGTTTTCTTTTTTAACAAGACAGAATCTGTAAAGTACGGCGTCGACGTATATAATATGCTTTTTTTGTGCCATTCGTTAAACTTAAATACAGCGAACCGATCAAAGATCTAGAAAATGGTCTTTCAAAAATAGACAATGATATGTTTCTACCATTGGAGCACTAGACGCACCAGGGGAAGCTCCTTGAGATCATTTGGTATTTTGCGTACTTTATGGTTCGGTCTGGAAAGTACAATAGTGATAGAAACACAAAAAACTCTACCTGTAGCTAGCAACAACGGAATGTCAACACTCAGGAGAGCTGCCAATCGCTTAAAAGGGATTTCCCAAGCACGACGGTAGCCGATCATGACATCCGTTTATATCGCTTACCGTTTACACCGTTTACACCGTTTACACCGTTTACACCGTTTACACCGTTTACACCGTTTACACCGGGTTGCTATGGCAACGAGAAGCGTTTCGGACAGACGGACAAACCGGTACTTGGGTCAGCCAATCAGAGGTTGACTCCGTTTTACACCGTCTACACCGTTTACACCGTTTACACCGTTTACACCGTTTACACCGTCTACACCGTTTACACCGTTTACACCGTTTACACCGTTTACACCGTTTACACCGTCTACACCGTTTACACCGTCTACACCGTTTACACCGTTTACACCGTTTACACCGTTTGTTAGGACGAAAAGAAGAATACTTTGGATTCCTCATCATGTCACCTACACTCTGCATGCATATCGATGTGCACTTTATACACCGTCTTTGTCGATATGTTATTTATTAATTGTAGCTGCATCGTCATATGATAAACATGGGCGCAGCTTTTTCAAATGGTCTAAACAAAAAAAACAAGCCGTCGCATAAGCCGGTTTTTCCACTCTGGTGAGCAGCACAGCTTTATTTTAAATCAAAAATGAGTGAAGGTCCACCACTCTATTTATTTTAGCCAATATGATAGTAGAGATAATAATCTTCAAGCGGCATTATTATGCTGCTAAAACTGCTGCATCTGCACACTCAAGTGGAAGGTCGGTAAAAGTGGCTTTACTGAATGAATGGTTGCTCAACTCATAGGAGGGGGGTGGATTTTGTATGGAATTGATGGATGATGCAGAGCCATATGTAAAGAAGAAATGACCAATCTTAACTTCTGACGGATCTCCAATGTATTTTTCAACATGATTCACACATGCAGCTGTATCTTTTTATAGACTGTCGAAAACTGGCTTCATATACGAGAAACGATTTCACCGGTTAGCCAAGGGTGCGTGTGATGATCAGCTAGTCTCATGTATTAGTTAAATGAAGAATGGTTCGACATTTTTCTCAAGGCGCAAGAAGGACGTCAGTATGTATATATTTGTGAGCGATCACTAAAGCTATGTGTCACTTTTGAGCTTGATCATGTACTTGGCAAAGTAGTGCTGTCAACATCAGATATAAATCATAGTCTTATTTTGCTTCTTATTAAAGTAAGCTCTTATGCTATGTCAACAATTTACATAAACTTTTTATTTGTATACGGCCTTCATGTTACTATCTTAAAAAGTGTATGTATAAAGAAATGTCAGTAAACTCATGCAATACCTTTGAACCGATGAGTTCAAATCCTACTATGTAGTACCATTTGAAAGTTGAGCTTATAAGTATGATACTTGTCAATAGTAATCTTAAAAGCTGATAGATGTGTAGCTGAGAAAAGTAAAAGAGAGGTTGTTTATGAGCCTGTTTAGATGTCACATCATGTTTGTCGCGTGGAGCTGCAAATAACGTGCATTCACTATTTGTTATCTATCCATACATGCGCATGGCGTACTTCATCACCATCTTCATTGAAAGAGGGAGTGGTGCAAAACTGCATATCCAACAGAAGCAGTATCGTCCATTCTTCGATACGACTATGGGTAAAACAGCTCAAATCGCAAGATTCTCGGGCGGCCCATGGTTATAAAGTCCGGCTATCTCAGCTCAGTTGCCTTTTCGCTCTTCTCTTTCCCTTATCTCCATGCTTTTCTATTTCGCGCAGTCGTAATCGTCATAAACGCGCCCTTAAGCCAATCACAGGTAAATTTCTTTATAACCCTGCGTCTGCTGCTTTACACACGCTCACACCTGTGTTTTAGCTGTGAACAACCGTAGTGGGTTGTTTCAAAGGCCCACCAACTTTTTTGTATGTGTCGGTAATGTTTCTGGGCACGTTTGCAGGTTCGACTCCTGGCTTGACACAAAGGTGGGCGCTACGTCGGAGGTCTTATGTTCATTTTGGGAGACCATTAGTCGCATCGGCCCCGCGAAAAAGAGCTCAATCACCTTCAGTGGCTAGCCTGAACGATCGGGTCCCGCCTTGGACGATCACAAGCGTGTCTGTTGTAGCCTAGACTTGCCGTACTCTCCGGAGTATGGTGTGTTTGTCAGATAGTCTTGAAATAACGCTTGAGGAATTGAGGGAACAAGGAATTTACGGAAAAGGCATTGGGATTGGTGTCATTCCTGAAGGCTTGCTGGAAGGATTGACGGTGTAGGTTCCAGCTTCGAGCTGGGACTGAGGCTGTGGTGGACATGGAGGTTGAAAGGTGCTTTGTGCCTTTTCTCAACCTCCTTCTTTCTCGTTTATTGTCAAACTAATGGACGAGAGAACTGCCAATGCCTTCTTCTTTTTCTTCAGCTAGACACTTTTTTGATATAATAAAATTACTCTTCCCTCTGTTTCCCTTTCTTTTTTTTTAATGTCAATGGCGTGTATCGCGTGGCCTTTTGTCGCTTTGATGTAATAGACGTTTGCGATGGCAACTGAGGCATAAGTGACAGCTAATAGGCGTTGCTATAATAGTATGGCCTGTTCTTGCTGTTGCCCAAGACAAAGTGCTTATCAACGGCGTACTGATGGGATCGTCACAACTTCTGATCCCCACATGGACTCTGTGACCGAGTTGCCGTTGCTGGCTTCACTGGAAGACACTTTGCATGTAAATCGAAGCGAAGCCCTCCAAGCACGCAATCTCGCGACAGCAGTTCATGTTCAACCTCATCACTCGATCGGCTACACAGATATTTAGAGCAGTTCCTAGCAGTCCGCGTCGAAGCATACGCGCAACAGGGCAAAGTCACTAAGGCGTATAGTAATGCCCTATTCTTTGTCGACAACTTCCCCGGCTATTTGGGGACATATGGTATCGCCACACGTATTTTTGATCAGACAACAGAGATTCAAGAAAGCAATAGCGATATGCGCAGGGCTCTGAATAACGGTGAAGGAGGGTTCCGCAACTTCCGATATAATCCGCTGACAGACACATTATTCTACCTCTCCAATGACGCTCACCATAGGCTTGAAAAGCGTACGAAGATGATGAAAGTGCAACCTTACGATGTGCTCACCGTGATCCTAAACGAGCTCTCTTTTGGTGACATCCTTCGGTGCATGACTGTATCCAAAGCGTGACGCCAATGCATTATTAATTGTCCTACAATGGTCACGCTACAAAACTAATATCTATATTCGAAAGGCATAGGATCCTGCGAACTACGAACAGAATACAACGGGAGTGTAGATCTAGCATGGCACTTGGATGCGTGCTATGTCTTGAACAAGTAAACAGCAACGCCTATAATATATTTTAGTAACAGCAGCACCAGCAGCGGTAAAACCCATATTTCGTCGCCATGTTGTAAAAGCGACGGAATAAGGCTCGAAAAAGAAGGCACTACTGTAGGAAGGCTGACTGAAGTAATCTTCTTCTAGCAGCTCACATATGAAAAAGACTAAGAACCGCCTACTATGTAGTGCTACATTGTCTCTTTTCACGCAGTCTGATAATCTATCCACTGCTCCAAGTTAATCAATGGGCAATGTCTGTGAGCGTGATAAAAATACTCTGATGGTGACTGCGCTGTGGGTGTTTCTTTTATTATCATACATAACTATGTAACAAGTGAGATCTTAACAATAAATAGAATCAAGAAGAAAAATGCGCGAACAAAAAGATATATAGAATAATTGTAAACACATGAAGGCGTATATACATACTGTACAGTATATACAATTTGAGCTCAGTTATATATATACAGCTGCTGATATCGTAATTTACTAAAGTTTAATGATTCTCTCACTCATTTGGCCTCTACAGATACATATGATGTGATTTCCCTGCCTTTTGCCCACAGTAAGGGTCCTTATAGCTCGTAGGTGAATATTTCTTGACCCATCGCTATTTTATAAGAAAGTAGATCCTCTCAAATGATATAAAGAGAGCATGATCAACACACGTCGTGATTGATACATTGAACGTCAAGCAAAAACATACGCTAAAAGCATAATAAAAGAGACATTGCAACTGATATGCACTCTCTATATATACAGTATTTATATATCCCGGTAATTCTTTAGCTTGAATTCTGGCTGCTGCAGCACTAGAAATAATAGCATCAATACAGCTCATTGTTTAATTACAAGCAATGAAAATGCTGCTTAACCGTCAAGTAGTTACTTGGAAATGCTTTATTCAGCAGCTCACTTCGTTGCAATTTAGACACAAGCGATCCGCAAACTATGTAACACAACGAGAATACGTACGTATATAGTATGTAGCAATATGAACAGCTTCTTCAGTAAAGAGTGCCATTAAATCTATGAGATGGCAGCTTTACCTATTATTAGACACCTAATTATCCATTGAGAAACCTAATATTGACGAGATCACACAAGTGAATAATAGGCTTTAATGAAATAAACGAAATGCTACTGTATTTTTTCTTCCCCAGATGGATATGTATGAAATTGCGACTAATAATAAATGTCATCTTCCAAGTTGCCAAATACCTTCGTCGCTTCCATCTGACATAGAGATAGCATCTATACACATCGTCTTTACAATTTAGCACCTTTTCCGCGTTGAATTAATTTATTGTATGTAGAACAACCTCGCTTTATCCATCCTTAAGCAAAGTCGCTACTAGCCGGGAGAAAAAGGGGTGTGGGGGGGGGGCTTGGGAATCTGGGAAAATCAGCCAGTGAAGATATATGCGTACGACCAAGGAAAACTCGTAACGAATAATGTGCAGCCACAAGAAGCATTTTGGGGTTTTTTGATGACGGCGAATGCTGATGTCAATTTGCTCTGAAAGTTTGAAAAGTAAAAAAAGGGTTCACATATATAAAGTCCTTAATAGACCGTGTTGTCAATCACTGCTGAGTAACAAAATCCTGCTACTTTCCAGTAAAGTTGTATAGCATAAATGTATATATATCTTTCCTTCTACTCCCTCGTCGTCGTCTCTATTATATACAGTTTATATCACTACTACCACTCCTACTACAAACTTAAACATACCAATACTAGCTTCGCAACAAAGCATGATATCGCTTTACAGAACACTCCACCATCATTCCAGATCCAAAGAGCAACAAGTTTTCGCCCATCACCTGTGTAACCCAACCCTGCTGAGCATGTTTTAGAGATCAGTAGGTGGCCATGTGCACCTTACCATAAAGAGAACAGCCTTTCTTTCTTTCATATAAAGACGCAAAGAGAGATGCTTCAAGGAAAATGCTGTCATCATCAGCCCGAGCTTAAGGACTAGTAGCTTCTTTTTTTTTCTGTGGTTAGTAGCTAGCATAAATCTGCACAAGGGATCACAGCAAACATGCAAGAAGGAAGCCCCAGTGTTGTATTTCTTCACTCTTCTGGTTTCCTCAAAAGATAAGCTGGTTTGGCTCACCAAGTATAACGCCTTTGAGAGTGATATAAATATATCCCCATTACACCTTATTTACACAACAGCTAAAGAACGCACGCACAGCAATCAGCCCATGCGTACTTTTTATTTATTTTTTTTGATACAGCTTGTTTGAATGCTATTTGGTGCGGGTGAGGGTCACACATTGGCCCACATACACTTTTCCGCTTTTTCTCTCTTTTTTTTTTTTTTTCAAAAGGTTATTAATAAAACACTTTACAACCCTCTCAAATAAAAAAAATAAACCGCTCCTTTTTATTTCTTCTTTTATAATCCTCAGTATATGGAATCGAGCATACGGTCTCAATCGTCGTTCGTGTATCAAGTTGCTCCCAAGGATCTTGTCTGCATTCAACTCGAGGATCCCGATCGCACCTATTTCCCGGGTGAACGGATCACTGGTAAAATTCTTTAAAGAGAATTACCCCTCCCTTCCTTTCGAACAAACAAGAGTGTACTGTATATAATTCCTCATACAACTTTTTTTTTTTACTTCTTTCTGCCTTGTTTTTTTTAAAAAAAAAAAAAGGTTATGTCAAGATTGGAATGAAACATGGCAGTAGTTCCAGAGTGGCCATTCATTTAGCCTGCACTGCAAAACTGGGAGCTCGACACCTACCATTATTCAAAATTCCGCTCCAACCAACACTGTTATCCGCTCATGCCACGCATATCCGGATTCCATTCAGTGTCATGGTCCCTGGCGACGTCCCGTCATCTGTCGATCATTCGGTATTAAATTGGAGAGAGGGGGTTCCAAAGGTCGTATAGATGATATGATTTTGGAAGCTAAACCGGGAATCTCTTTTGATGATGATGATGATGATAGAGAGTACCCGGAAAAATTGAATACAAAGTCAAAGCAGTACACGAGCTGAACGATTTACCGAGTTGTGTCTGGCCCAAAGAGTCGGTGGTAGTCCGAGTCCATGAACGTATCTCAACGCTCGAAGATCGATACATGAAAGGCATGACGAGCGAAGGCCAGCTATCGTTCAACATTCCTCACGATATCACATTGAAACATTGCTCTTTTCGCAAAGGCGAACACAAAACGGCCTCGGCTTGGCTCCATATACCCGGATCCTGCTATCTTCCTGGTAAAAAAAAATTAAATATATATATATATATATAAAGGCAAACCGCATAGAGCGATGATGCGCATACTAAACAAAAGAAAAATGATGTTTTTAAAAAAAAAAAAGACCAAGTCGTTCCGTTCACATTACGCGTCAAGCACTTTGCACCTATCCGACAAATGGACGGCGTCACAGCCTATCTGGAACGTATTACAAAAACTGTATGCGATATGGAAAACTCAATCGACACCGTCCGGATTGCTCAATTCACGCTACCGCTTTCGTGCGACGCAGACGACTATCAGAGTAAATTCACGAGCAACGGACTAAAAGTACCAAAGGATACACCCCCGACCCTGGATCGCGAACAATTTCCGTTACAAGTTTCATATCGGATACGCGTCGTTGTGAGTTTGGATATGGACGGTCTGCAGCTCAGAAAACGCGACAGAATGGCCAACTATATGGGAAGGATGAAAGTGCGGTTCAATGAAGAAGAAATAGCAGGAGGATCGACGATTGTGCTGGATATTCCGATCAAAGTCGGCACGAGCGACGAGGATTTGCCACCATCGCCGCATTCCATGTCTTCGTTCAAATCGTTGTTTGAAGCAGGATATGGATTCTTTCAACAGGATGAGCGAGGGATGGTCCCACCATCGCCCATGTTGGGACCACCACCTGCATACAACGCAGCAATGAGTGATACCAATGGCAGTAGTATCATCAGCAGCAGCAGCAGCACCAACAACACTAATAGTAGTAATAATAATAATAATAGCACACCTACACTTGTGACACCTCCAACACCACAACAGTCCTCATCATCCATCATTGTAACGTTACGCCAGCTCACATCTTCCTATGATCCCGTCGATTCAGCATCAGTAGCATCGGCATTATCAGCTGCACAACGCTATGCAACCGATACCAAGCAAGCACCGCATTTGCTATTATCATCACCATTACAGCCTCCCCCGTCACTCATGCTACTCGAGGGTGCAATCCCTAGGCAACCGTCTGCACCGAATCTTCAAGATCTTGAGTCGCCGATACCCTTTACTGCTCGCGCAAACTCATTGCAGCATCGCAATTTTGACAACATGATCCCAGACAACAACAACAACAACAACAACAACAATGCCTTTTCAAAAGCGGGTATTCATGCACGATCATGGTCTGTTCCTGCAGACAAACATAATCCGAAATACTTGCATTCTCCTTTTGCTCATCATCAACACCAACAACACCCGCCAATACCACAAACACCACAACAGCAACCGCCTCCACAATACATGTACCATAATCCGCCACCGGTCACCACACATCATCTTCTCTATCATCATTACCAGCAACAGCAACAACAACAACAACAACAGCAATACCAGCAGCAGCAACAATCACCACAACATCATCGTCCTTGAGAAGGGGGAAGGGAATGTAAAAAAAATAACCAGAAATTTTTGTGTCTTGTGTTTTCTTCTTCTTGTGTATACTATCTTTTTTTTTCCTTCTTTTTTTGTGCAAATACTAATAAAACAACAAATGATATACATATTATACATCATCATCATCATCTTTATCGTTTTGTCGTTTTGAATTCGTAAAAATGAGGAGCGAGTTCAGTCAACCAGTCCGGTTCAATGACCGTCAAGTCACGCATATAGGCTTGATTTGTCTCAACGACTTCATGGAACACGACGCATTGAGGGTTGCGATTGAAGAGGACCGAGTCTGGATGGATTGACAAGAGGACATTATCGCGGATAGTGCGAAACCGACCACTGCCATCGGGTTCGGCACGAGCCGCCTGAGCAAAATAGCCACTCGTCAAGCATTTACGAATCTTTTCACTTGCTTCAAGTCGACAACGTTCATCGTCGTCGTCCGTCTTACGTGAAGAAGCAGCTAATGCACTGACGAGAGGGACCTTGCAACGTTTCAAATAACGAGCCAATTGTTGACGGATACTCATGGCACGCGAAAGGGCCTTGAAGTTCAGGAACCGGTCATGACACCATTTGCCCGACTTGTGTTTAACAAAGGCATTATACACATTCAAAAGGCTCAGATGATCCCCTTCTTCGACCCAGAATTTCCGTCGCATCTCCATGACGGTTTGATCTTTGGCAGCAGCCTTACTACCGGACGGATGGATAAACACGTTCTGCACCGACAAGACAGCGGCAATCGACAAGATTTCTTCACTGCATCCGAATTCGCCAGACGCTAGCAGGATTTTACCGAGCATGGGATCGACCGGGAACTCGGCTAGATGGATGCCCAAGGGCATGGTCAGTCGTCCGACGTCGTCAAGGGCATTGAGCGAGTACAAGAGTTCGAGAGCACGGATCATGAGTTCGGCCGGGGGCGGGGTGAGGAAATCAAAGCGGAGCACATTGTCAATGCCGAGGGCTTTCAATTGTAACACCACTGGCGCCAGGTTGCTTCGTTGGATCTCGGGTGTGCTGGTATCTGGGAGTTTCTCGAACGTTTCTTCTGTGTAGAGGCGGAAGGCTTTGCCGGGTCTCACACGACCGGCTCGGCCTGCGCGTTGCAATGCCGATGCTTTGGAGAGCGGTGTCACCACAAGTGCTTCCATGCCCGTTTTGGGATTGTACGCTCGGACCTTGACAAACCCACAGTCGATCACATAGACAATGCCTTCGAGGGTCACGGATGCTTCGGCAATGTTGGTGGATACAATTACTTTTCGACAATGGTGGGGCGTCGGTTGGAATATTCCAAGTTGTTCGTCCGCTGTAAGGCCTGCATACAGTGGTAATGGCATCAATGTCATGCTTCGCTGTGGCAATCTGACAACAAGAACAAAGGTGGTTAGTCTTTTTTGTGTCTATCGGTTCTTTTTTTTTTTTTTCTAAATAAAACCAGACCAAAGTTAAACTCACGTTCGAGATCGCTCAAAAAGCTCAGATACAACCGTATCAATCTCATCACGACCCGTTAAAAATATTAAAATGTCCCCAGCAGGTTCCTATTCCATAAACCGAATAGAAGGAGAGAGGGGGGTGGGGTGGGGTCAGCAATTTTGGGGCAAAATGTTGAATGCTACAACAGTTTCTACATACCTTTGTATGTATATCAAACACAGTCTGTATAGCTTTCTCTACATAGTCATCCACTGGTGTGTCGCTGTATAAGATGTCTACTGGATACATGCGGCCTTCTAACGAAACGATCGTTGCTGTATCTTGCAATGTATCTTTGGTAGTGTTGTGATTAAAGAATCGATAAAAGGCTTCGGCATCCAATGTGGCGGATGAAATAATGACACGCAGATCTGCTCGCTTCTTTTGAATCCTAGGTGTGTGTAGTTTAGTGACCACCCCCATTTAGCTCTTTATAGATGAATCCCCACCCTCCCTAACTAGAAACATAGGTACTTTTTGATCACGCCGAGCAAAATATCAGTGTACAAACTTCGTTCATGGGCTTCATCGATCATGATGACGCTGTATCGACTCAGCAATGGATCAATCATGGTTTCACGAAACAGCATACCGTCCGTCATGTACTTTATCCGAGTCCGTTGGCTTGTTTGGTCCTCAAATCGAATCAAATAGCCCACCTCACCGCCCAACTTGCAATTCTTTTCCTCTGCCACGCGTTCTGCTACGGAGGTTGCTGCGATGCGTCGTGGTTGTGTACATGCCACTTGTTTGCCGTTTGTGGTCCAGCCTGCTTCATCCAGGTACTGAGGGATCTCTATTCTTTCCCCCAAGAAAAAAAACAAACCGTTAAAAAAAAAGATACGCAGGAAAAGCAGATATTCCTCAGAGAGAGAGAGAGAGAGAGACTTTACGTGTCGTTTTGCCACAGCCTGTTTGTCCAACCACGACCACCGTTTGATATTTATCCACTAAATAAAGCAACTCGCGTCCTATATTTTCTTGGTTACAAAATTGACACTATAAAAAACGATTGACAAAATAAAAAGAGAGTTGTTGTTTTTTCTTTACGTAATTTGAACACGGGTAATCGTTCGCGTTGTTGCTTGATCGTCAAGTGTCGAAATTGTTGCTCAGCATGTGCGATCACGGCCTTGTCAGTTTCATTTTCAGTAGTGTCTCGATCAACGGCACTTCCTGACCATCATATTTAGCGTTTTAATAAAAAGGAAAAGGAGATCTTTTCCACGGGTTCTTCTTACCTGGTGCGATTGTGCCAGGTTTCCAGAATGCCATTGCTTTAATACGGTTGTATTACAGATAAAAAAAAAAGAGCTTCTTGATTAAATTTGCGGGATTTTTATCCTGGTTTTTCTCTCCTTAATGCACAAGTCTTTTATTGTCGTTGTTATATAATTTACTATAAAAGAAAAAGAGGCAAAGGAAGTGTGTGTGTGTGTGTGTGGAAGAAGGGGAGCTGTTTATATAGTTTATTCTTTTCAAGAGAATGAAATGACAATATGGGATCCGTTGAGAGCAGTGCTATACGGAACCAGAATCCATATTAGACCACTGTATCCAATGGGTAAAAAATACCATCATCACAACACACTTACCGATTATATTTACGACGAAACAACACGGCTGATTCAGGATCCATGAGCGTCACTGTTGCTTGCTGTTTCCCCAGTTCCACGTGTGCTATGCCTCCAGGTACAGACTGACCAAACTGTCGAATGTCTGCCTCCGTCGTCGAGTCGCTCAAGTTTTTTATCAACAACTTGTTTGATTTATGGCCACTGCCACCCATGACTGCTGTTGGCAATTGGATCGTGTCTGTTGTGTTAGTAGTAGTTCGCTTTGCAGAGGGTTGGTTTTCAAAGGATGGAGAGGGTCGTTTTCTATTAGCACCGTTCAAATGGCTCATGACTGCAGTATTCGCCAAAGAAGAAGATGCGATTCGATCCAGGATACTTTTGGATAACTGTTGTTGTTGTTGTGATGATGCTCGGTCCATGTTACCACTTGCCCTTGAAGATGCTGGACTGCGTTGACGTGGGTCAAAAGTGGTAGTAGTAGGAGTAGCTGCTGCTGCTGCACCCTTGATGGTGATCCCCTTGTTGGCCAAACCTCGAATTGTCATGGATGGTTTAGGGTCATCGTTGTCACGGTTTCCTCTATCGTCCTCGTTACCACCCAATCTTTGTTTTTGTGCCACTGGCGACGTTGATGATGATTCCATCTGAACCAAAAATTAAATTCCACTTTAGTTTCCAGCCCTGTTGTTGTCTCCCTCCCTCTTTAAAAATTACCCTGTTGTTTGTAGATGATCCACGCGTCACAGCTGTTGTTGTGCTGCTAACCGTGGTAGTAGTTGTAGTAGTAGTAGGAGTGTTCTTTTGAGTTTGACGTTTCTTTTGCAATTCAAGCAAATATTGGCGTTGACGGTTGATCTCATCCTGTGTCACGTCTCCGGTCGTTGACATGGAGGGTGGCCGGAATCCTTGTTGTTGCTGCTGTTGCTGTTGGAATTGTTGTTGCTGTTGCAGCATCTGTATCTGTTGCATGTGTTGATACTGTTGTAATCGCTGTTGTTGTTGTTGCTGTTGCTGCTGCTTTTGCTGTTGCTGCTTTTGCTGCTGCATGGCGGCAAACTTGGGATTGATATGGACCTTGGCAGTAGGTCGTGGAATGAACCCAGGGCCACCACCCATCATCATGTTCATGCCTGGGTATGGCATTTGCATAGACATTTGAGGAGGCATCATCATACTATTTTAACACAGATAAAACCAACGTTAGCATAACTCTTTGTACTTTTGCAAATCAGGGCTTACTTGGATGAATATGATGTCCCTTTTTTTTATAAATCTTGTATCTTTTTTCTTTTTTTTCTTTTTTTTCAAGATATCTTCTTTTTTTTTTTCTGTCTTTTCTGATTTTGCATATCTTTTTTTTTTTTGGTCATCTTTTCTTTTTCTCAAAACACAAAAGATCAAGGAAGAAAAGTGGGGAGAATTGGATTCATGGCAATGCGTGGAGGAAAAAGAAGAAGAAGAAGAGGGGATGTTGAAGGTGATATGGGTGATGCGATGTGGGTAAGAGGAGGGAGTGAAGGGTGAACCATAGTATAAAAAGGATGGAAAAACATACTTCATGCCCATCATGCCTTGGTGAGCAAAAGGGTATTGAGGGAAACTTCCAGCAGGCGGTCTATAAGGATGACCACCACGCTTTGGAGTGTAAGGAGATCTGTTGTAATTATTATTATATCCCTGGTAGTGTTGTTGCTGCTGCTGTTGATGTTGCTTTGCGAATGGTGCTTTAGTTGTTATTGATTCAATAGGTTTGGATGACGCGGTAGTAGTAGTATTAACAGCGGCAGAAACATCTGAAGCCGATTGTTTTCCTTTTCCTTGTTCTTCTTCCTTGGTGACATGTGGCTCTTTTAACAATGTTGACGACGACGACGAAGAGACTTGTTGTTGTTGTTCAAGTTGCTGCTGTTGTTCGTTCAACAATCCTAACTCTCGTTCCAGATTTTCAATGTCAAGGTCATCGGGATTGATGCCGTCCAGATCGCCATAGTCCAAGTCTTCAAAATCAACAATGTCGTCTGCCATGGCTGGATGCAAGTTTTTTTTTGGTCGGGGGGCGGGATGCGTGCGTGTATATGTGTTGATGTGGATTGAGTTGGAAGGAGGGAGAGAGAGAGGGTTATGAGAGCGTAGTATGTCAAAGGTGTAAATAGGAAAAAAGGGAAAAAGTGGGGAAAGAACAAACAAATTCGACTCGTAAATTGGTAGTGCGCCGGAGGGGACAAGAAGAGCGGTTTTACACTGACAAGCACTATTCTTTCCTTCCTTCGCTAAAACATTCTGTATTCAATAAGCAACGATGCTTTTTCGTTGTTGTTTTTGTGGATGAACATAATAATAAAGCTTCTTCCGGAGAAGATCTTATATTTTGGGGATAAGAAAAAATCAAAGCAGGCAATCAATAAGCATTAAACTCGAGAAGATGAAAACAGGCTCAAACAATGACGTACATGATGCTGTTGCCCCAGTGCTCCATAATACACCAATTTTTAAATACTACCTTATATGATCAATAGATGAACGATGCACTTTATCTTGTGTATGTTGTAGCAGGCAGGCAGAATAGCTGGCTAATCGCTTAAAGTTAATTCAATACTATCCTGTTGGCTTTATTGATAATGACGAAAGCCGCCTCTTTTTATATAAAGTGATTGCAGCGATATATGAGATAGATTTACAATAAAGAAGAAAGAAGCACAAAACGTGTTGTTGAGAGCCCTTTTAAGAATATGTAGAAAGAGAGACCCTCTTGCTGTATAAGAGTAAGGAGAAATCGAAAACTTTAAAAGCTGTCCAAAGCATAACATAGAAGGAATGGCCAAAAAACGGGAGGGTTTCGCGCCCTGTCTCTCTAGCCCGTACGGTATTATTATTCCGCAGTGTGCCCCATCATCATCATCTAACGGATGAACGATCCCCTTACGAGGGTGTGTCAGAAGAAGGAAAGGCGTCAATAAGGAAGGTGGGAGGGGAGAAGCATCTATACGCAAGCAGTGAAAGGGCGTGCGTGCATCGGGGTGCGTGATGATGTGCACTCCTCCCGCGTCTTTTTTTTTTATAAAAAAAAGGAAAGGGTAGTTGCATGAAAGCTTGTTGGTACATGTACCTACCGGACATGATGACAGCCAGCAATGCTAATACATAGTGTTATTATCATAGAAAGCTGAATGGTATCATCTAGTAGCTACATTTAGAGCATGTACTACTGGCTTGTCATAATAGGTCATAATAGAAAATTTGATATTGATGAGAATAGGACCTTGTTCTCGACTTGATTTAACTGCGCGCATGTGCTATTGTTGATTGGTGTAATAATGGTAGTAGTAGTAGTAGTAGTAGTAGCAGTAGTAGTGTATATCACCTTATTTGTGTGTGAGTCGCGTGACGTCCTCGCCTCTTCTTCCTTACATATTATATATTGCGTACATAACAATTTTAGCACAAGAACAGCAGCGCTCCCGGAATAAGAATTTGTATCTGGCCTCGGGCTCGTGCCATCATGTATTTTACTATTTAATGAAACAGACGGTAGATGAAATAATTTAGATTGCTGCTTGCTGCTGATAGTGTTGAACAGAAAATGCGAACGATAAGAGAAACTTTTTTCTTTTTTTTGCTGATGAGATGGGGTCATTCTCATCATCGTCGTCTTGTGCATCGATACTACAGTATGCAATCTATTATGCATAACATAAAAAGAAGAAAAAAAGACTGGTCTTATCTGTCATACAGAAAAAACCGCTTTGCATTAGGGAGGGTTTACAAACGGAACCAAAAGGGCGGAAATGTCTTGTATTACAAGAATAATAATGATAATTTTATAAGTAGTCGTTTGTGAGTCTAGTACAGACAGGGCAGTCGATCATTTGAATCGATGTTCCACAGTATTTATGGCTGAACCCAAAAAAACAACAACACAAGAGTGTGAGAGCAAGGTCTGGTGGCAAAGAGAGTTACTGATGTTATTAGCTTCATTAGAGATTCTATACTGTAGGCGATGCAGCAGCAGCAGCAGCTTTATTACGCACTTGGGAATAGAGAAAGGGTGGGGACCCCCAAACCCAACAAAACACCAACCTTTCTCTGCTATATATCGCACACCAACAACAAAGAGTTTATCTTTTGAGTATAGTGGCTTTACATAGTACTTCTTCTCCTTCTCAATCGACAACAACAAGAAGAAGGAGAAAGAGGGTGGCAACAAACAACCCAATGTATATGCAGGTAATGCAACCAAGACGTTAACCCTCTTTGTTCAGATAAATAGACGACAGAGCAGCTACAGGCGTATGATAATAGGCATTATTGTAACGACACGAGCAATGGTTTCTAAGAATGTGCACGGGCATCTGACATGCGTTATGTATATTGGATACAGCACCACCACCACCACCACACAAATAAAAACACGTGTCCATGTATGTACTACTATAAGTACAATGTAGTGCTATATACATATTACAAGTACAACTAGACTATACTATACTGTACTATACTGCACTGTGCAGCAAGAACAATGTAAACGTGTCACGTTGTTGTTTGATATACACTACTTATCACTCCATGTTGTAGTAATGCCGGTTCACGTCGGTGTCTTTGCTTTTCCCCCTTGCTGGGTGATACGCATATCGTGTTTAAAATATGAACGCCCGGTCCCTGCGTCTAAGGGGGTGTGAGAGCGAAAGAATGGAGTCTCTCTCGAACGACTACTTATGAAGATATTACCTGCTAATACCACAAAAAAAAAAAAAAAGCCACCCCAAGGTCATGTCTTTTTCACCCATGATTCACTGAGCGTAACCTTACCCAGTTTGGAATGCCATTATATTTTTTTTTTTTACTTTAACCTTTTTTTTTTATAATGTGTGACCCTCAAACACTTTATTGTTCTCTTGCGTCGGTCGCTTGGTGTTTTGTACAAGTGGGGAAAATGGAAGAATACGGGGGAAGGGTTATGGTGTAAGCGGACACGGAGAAGGATGAGCTTAGCCCAATATCAATGCTACCGAGAAGAACAACGAGAAGGAAACAATGAAAAAAAAAGGAGGGACCTGCAGTTGCAGTAACAGCCATGGATTACATATACTTTTAAGAGAGATACGGAGCGAGAGAGAGAGAGAGAGAGAGAACGGTTTTTTATTATTACTTTCCTTTTTATACACAGACTTTGAGGTTTTTTGGGTTTCTTTGGGGGTGGTTTTTTTTTTCAGGAACTGTAGATGGACTACTGCAAGGTGGGGTTGGTTACTATGGTGATGGATGACACACAGAGTCGTCATGGTGATTATACAAACACAGATGCACAAGAAACATCTGGAGCAAAGAGAGAGGTTGGGTTGGGCGGAAGGGGTATCTTTTTTTTTTTTTCTTTTTTTTTTTTTTTTTTTGTTGTGATAAGTTATAAGAATGTATGTACAGTGTCCAAATCCAAAGATTCATAGCTGAGCAAGGACGCATTGTCGGCAGCCGTTGGACGAGAAGAAGAAGAATGATGAGGAAGATGCATGTTGTTGTTGTTGTTGTTGTTGCTACTTGTGCTTGTATGATGATGATGATGATAGGATGCAAAAAGTGAAGAGTCGGATGCAGTGGATGATGTGAGTGACGAGAGAGAGGACGAAGAGCTGTAGTAGGATGACCGGGGATGTTCCTTTGGATAGTACAACGACCGACGTCGATGGTAAGAAATCACTGGTGCAGTAGTGGCTGTTGCTGTGTCGTTGCTGCTGCTGTAGTAGTAGATGGAGGAAGAGGAGGAAGAAGAAGAAGCGTAGTAGTGTGGTGCGTTGTACTGGCAAGGACTCGTTGGAGCTGTTGTGGTAGAAGAAAGAGCGTATGACTTGGATGCCTCGTGTGCCTCACAGGCAAGACTGCAAAAGTTGATATTGTCTTTTGTCAAGCGCTTTTCGCAATACAAGCAGATGTTGAGATCCATGATGTTTGAAACTAAGTGTCAAGTTGTGAGTGTGTGGGGTGTGTAAAAGAGAAAGAAAAGAGGAGAAGAAGAAACAAGAGACAAGCACTCTCACACACACACACACGCACAAAAAGGAACATGCCAATTTATACTTTTCGCTACGGGTTAAAAGAAAAAAAAAACAAGGTTTACACGGTAATATTTTCATGCTTCCATGGCGTACGTGACCTTTGCCTCTCTCTCTCTCTCTCTCATTTTTCTCACAGCAAGTCCCTTTTCTGTCTCTCAAATTGCTCATTTTTACGCGGTTTGATTGGTCGGGCTAATCCAATGTCCCGGTGTGCATGCTCCCTCCCCCCCCAAAGAAATTATATAGCCTTGAGAAATTCTTTATTTTTAAGGGGGAAGGGTTTTCTTTTCCCTCTATAAGTGCTCTCTAATGCGAGAAAGAGAGGGCGCCTACTTTTAAAGGAGAAGGGTTGAGGAGGAGGAGGAGGCCCTCTCATTCATTCATTCTTTCTTTCTTTCTTTCTGAGATGGAGATTACCAAGTTGGCGTGGGAACAGCTCCTCGCTTGTTTTTGCTTACACACACATCAAGGAAGGAAGGAAGGAAGAGATGAGAGGAACCACCACCACCACCACCACAACAACAACAAAGCGCAAGGGCGGTGGACCGACGCCGTGCAGATGGAATACTAATAATAATAATAATAAGACTAAACCACATTATACCATATACAGTGCGTGTGCAGCAGAACACAGACAGTGCCTTGGTGTGTGTATGTGTGTTTATACTTGATTATTTATTGTTTGTGTGTGTGTGTGTGTTTACACATACATTACAATCTCTCTCTCTCAATCTCTCTGTTTGACGACAAGCCCCCCAAAACCAAGAACAAGTGGACTGTTTCTTCCGGCGCAGCGCTACCTATTGGCATTTGAGCAGTTGGGGTACATAATCTGCTGATGTAAAAAAGGACAGAAGGGTCATGACTCCTTTTTGTTTTTTTGAAGAGAGAGAGAGAGAGAGAGAGTTCTCTTTATCCAATGAAATGAATGTAACACACAATACATCAAAGCAGTGTATCCTCACTACCGTTTTACGTACATTGATAGGATGGATACTATTCAGAGAGGAGGGGAAGCTTCCCTCCCTCCCCTTCCCTCCATAGCGTATCTAGAAACGACAGCGTGGATGATAGCAGTGGTGCATGATCGACAGCACCGATTTGCCGAGCGTGGCAACCGAGATAACTCTAATATCGCCGCCGCCGCTTCCCCCTTCCTCCACACGTGGCAACGAGTAGTGGCCTGAATACACTTTGCATGTATCAATCGGGTAGGTCGACCCTGTAGCTATGTTATATATATATATATATATATATATATATATACAAGCCAAGTAAATGTCCATTGGATCCGTTACGATGGGATCTCCAATTCATTCCTGACCCACATCTCTTTATTATAAGTGATTGCCCAGATATCGTTTTCTCGAGCTAACAAACGTCGAGAAGCAAATGATGTGTCAAAATGATAAAGTCCCCTCTTTTTTAAGCCTTATGGAAAATAGAAATGGCGGTATACACCCCTGTTTGCCGACCAGCTGCTGCACCATAATTGATATGTTTGTTCGAAACGTTATGAGCAACTCTCAGTGACAGACTGTCTTGCGCTGCTTTGTTCAAGTATATATAGCTCTAACGCTCTAATTGGGTACACACACACACACACACACAAGAAAACGAATGCAAGTATCTACTTGTGGCGTGGTTTAACAACATGAAGCTCGTCCAATGTACCGTAGCAAATACAAAAAGTGCGGTGCAACACCCAAGACTCCTGCTAAATCCCGTATTGCTACAATATTAGGGTTTGTGTCGACATCAAACATCATTGATAGACGCTAATTAGATACTTACAGGTGCTCAAAGACGTTTTTCAAGCCGATGAAAGAAGCTGCATCAAGCATCTCATGCCTTCTGGCATTCACTATTCCACAGCATCTTTTTATGCCGTGGTCATATTCCAGGAGGGTTCTCACAGTTTCGTGGCCAGCCCCTCATCGTCCTCAACCTTCTTATAGTGACATTGTTTCTCAGTTAGAACAAAGCTGGCCATCTTATTGAACACAACTTCTACTAACTCCGGTATTCAAGTATCTTTGTCGCTGTTCTAGGTACTTGAATACCGAGCTGTTGTCCTTTAACCTGTTCTCTCTTTCATTTAACCAAATATATCACGGGGATGTGCCTCTTCTTTTTATTTTCATGTTATGCACGATGATAGCATGCAATATATAGAGTCGAAACTATATAACAACTGTGCGTATGATAGCTAGATTAAAAGTTCTGCTTGAGTTATTACATCACTACTACTACTACTGACAACATCAAACTCTATGTTCATGATCACCGGCATGTCCATTTTAAAGATTCGACTATTGTACTACCATCACCACAGGATTCACAACATCAGCAGACTAAAACAGATGATGCACGGGACGTGTCTAAGAGTTTTTCCATGCGAGTCCACGGAACAAAAAGAAAAAACCATTGCCGGCTCCTATGACATAATGAAATGGCTTGATGTCTATGTAGGCACCAGATCCTATACACACCCTTCCAACTATTGTCAAGTCACACACACACATGATGGATTGATCACTGCCAAATTGCAACACCCAGAACAAATGAAAAAGAAGATCAGGTCTTAAAAGAGACGTGCATGCATTGCATATCTTTTTTAAAGCGCCAAGTAATTCCATATAAAGGAAACAAACGTCTGTTTTCATTTTCCTTCTTTATAAGGCCGTTACTATTTCCGTTTTCATCTATTCTGACAAACAGCCATGCTGAACAAGGAAACGAAGCCGATGCACAAGCATGTACTGTTGACCGTACGTGCAGATGTTTGAAAAGATTTGGTTTCCTTCTTGTTTGCAAAAACCCAAAAAAAGGAACTTATGAGTTTGTGCTCATCTATTGAGCAGCCACCTCCTCCCACTTCATTTAAGCTCCAATAGCAAAATATCAATGAATCAATAATAGGGGGTTTCTAGCTACTGATATGCTTGTTTTCTCAAAAAAACGCATAACATTATTAGGGCCAAAATCAGGAAAGCCAATTATTGAACTTATATACCCTTCGTCGGCGCTTATAATCTAGATCAATTAGTAGATAAACAGGTCCCCATCTTAACATTGCTTTATTATGGGGAAGGAAGGCGTGCGCAAGCGCCAGCAACTTTTGTAAATAAAGGTAAGGCTGTATAATAGGAAACTGTTGCTGTTGTTGTTTTTAAATTGCAAAATAGAGTGATAGTAGTAGTAAATGGGTGTGGCAGGGTCATGGGGAACTTAAGAGATACAGTAAAACCGTAATATATCAGTTGCCCGCCTAAACCCAGTACCACTATGTAGTTCCCAACTAAAACGATATGCATCTATTTCCAAAGTTGCTTTTATTTACGTGGATTTTCACAGAAAAGCATGATTAAAGGACACTTGTCTGAAAATGAAATGGAATTCTACTTGTCCTTCTGTCTATATATGTATGCCAAAACATGCGACCTTGAATTTTTTGCTCTGCTACCACACATTGCTAATTAGAAAGATGGAATAGAGTCGATGTTTATATGGTTGAACAGTACTATGATATAAAAAAAAAAGACTACACCACGCTAGTGGTACACCAAGATCTACTAAATGCATCGATTCTATGGCACTATGACTGATTATTTATTGAGACGTTTTGGCAATGATACACATCAATCCTTTTACGAACTCCATGGTTGCTGTTGCGGAATACGTTGACGCCTGCATCCGTAATACCACGGCTGTCGCTGATGTGAAGATGGCTCAAACTTTCAACTTGAGCGAGCTGAATAAGCACAACATCAGTGAAAGTTTGCACACGATGGAGCTGTAAATCGTTTAGCATGTTGATTTCCTTGAGCCGTTCTACCCAGTCAATCCATCCTTCCTCGGTCATGTGAAATCGACCGTCATATGGCGTATAAAGCTTTAATTTTCGTAGTTGCGACAACCGGGCCAACTGCATCAGACCTTGGTTGCAAAGGGAAAAATTCGATAGTCTTACGTGCTCAAGATGCTGTAGATGTCCAAGCGGTTCTAGGTTCAAGGATGGATCATGCATGCTGTTGTCATCAGCACTGTTCTCGAAATGAAGGTACCGAAGTCGTCGTAAAGAGCTGACAGCGAGGATGAAGTGATTGGCGTAGGCGATCGATCTGATCCACATCTTGATGTTGAGGTATTCGATCTGCTGTTGCAAGCGGAAAAGCTCTTCCCATAAACCATCGTCCGTCCACGCAGTGCAAGTTAACTCCAGTGACTGCAATTGTGTAAATTGCTTTCTTTTGAAAAGGTTCCATATGCCTATATATAGAATACCGGTTATATAAAGGCAAAGACGTCTCAAAACATGCTGTGATCTTGTCAATATCGGGATGATATCTCCATGGCTTTGACCAGAAAATACAAGTTCGCGAACTGTGCCTTCGATGGTGTCGTTGCTCCCGTCGTCGACATGACTCTTGATGTTTTTTCTCGACAGGGCCATCCATTCGCTTTCTACGCCACAGTCAGGATCATAAAAGTTCCACAAGATGTATCGAGCCAATGGACAGAACCTGAAAACATCGTGGATGTTGGTTGCTGGAATGTAAACCGTTTTTGTCTGGATTAACAGCAGGTATTTGAGACGCGGGCAGCGCCGCAGCAAAGGGCGGATTCGATATTTGTAATCGAGTCCATTGTCGAGGAGTAGAAACGTCAAATGACGGTGCTGTCGTCGGCATTTCTTCTCGAGCAATTCAGGCAGGGTAGAGAGCTGATGTATAGCTCTAAAAGTAACTGAAAGATGCGTCAGCATTGGAAGCGTGTCGAGTAGCATCATCAGCGAAACGTCTGCCGAACTGGATGTGAGCGAAAGTTCAGTCAACGTATTTGCAAACGAGCGTAGGGCGATTGGTAATAGCTGATCATTGTCAAATGCATTCAATCTTCTTTCATATTCGTCGTCCAAGTTATTGGTGATTGCTAATAGGGGGCCAAGGATGCGATAATAGGGGGCCAAGGATGCAAAAAAGTTAATACTGATTTACTTAGTATTTGTAAACGGATGTGTATATACACAACACTATTAAAACGCAAGACAGATTTCTTTATTACCGAGTTTGCGAATGCGGCAGTTGTAGGTCTTGAGCTGTTTAAGCACACTTTGTGCCTTTTGGCGATCAATCGTTACTGACTGAGCGTGAGCAGCAAGGCATGACATTGCTAGGCTGCATAGGTTCCAGGAAGTGCGAGAGATCTCCAAGTGCTGCCTCAAGGCAATAGCAGGGATCGTGTTGAACCACTGACGCGATACAGTTACACACTGTAGGCAATCATTCTGTTCAAGGTAGGAAAAAATGTAACGAGTGACTTCGATCGGTAGAACACGAGTAAAATCGGTCATGGTTTGCGCAGACGATTGGGAATAGAAAAAAAAATTGGATGTGGAAAGGAGAGAAAGAGAGGGGTGAAAGATCACTTTTTGTGGGAAAAAGAAAAAAAGTCTTTTGTTATATGTTATAGGTAGGTATGTTTCATTGTGTCATTGTTAATGCATCTTCCATTTTTATAGCGGTCGCATAGTGGGGGTTCTGTAGTTTTAAACTATAACTTGTGTGAAACAAGTGTAATCAAGGACCCCACCATCTTCACAAGAGCTATTGAACAAAGAAACGGAACCTCTTCTTTATTGCAGACAGTTGCAGAAAAGCTTGGTCTAAACTGTCGACTCAAGGAATCCAGTATGTTGATCGCTCTATCTCCACGCTTTGGTCTTTTCTCTCACGTTTATACAGGTGGCTTTTTATTGATATGGCTTCTGCTGCTTCCAGTGCACAAAATCATTCTTCGATTGAGTAAATGCCACGAGAAGTACATGACGGCGAGTTGGCAACCCCAAACTCTTTTTTCATATAAAGTACAGTAAAATACACGTCCATCGTTTTGTTTACTTTTTCCAGATTAGAAACTGTTTATTTGACTAATTTGATCTTTTACTTTTTTGATTTTTACACGTTATGATTATTGATCCTGGGCCTCTTATGAGTGAGTGGAGTGAGAGCGATCATCAACACTGGACTCATTCTTTCGTTCAGTCATTGTTGGTGTGCGTCACTTCTCGGTCGGCTGCCATACATATCAACATGGAATAGCAAGGTTTTCTGTTATCCGTGGTGCTATTCAGGTACTACAGATATTTGTGCACTGGTTCTAGGCAAAGAGATGGCGTCCTAATAGGGTGCAGAGAATGTTAAAAGCAACAGTGTTGTATTTACCAGAAGGGGAATACGATAGGAAGCCACGTTTTCTGGGGGGAATTTTCTCAAATTGTTTATAATTGAATTTGTATAGTTTTTTAAGCAGTGTCGTTGCTTCGGCCAGTTATTTTTATTGCCGAGCATACTTCGCTACTGCGTTTTGTACTTCTTGGACGTGTTCGCTCCCAACATTTGTTTTGCACCAGAGGGAAATTTCCGTAGACACGTTCTTGCTCGCATGAATGTTGTTTGTACATTTTGTCAGGCACGCATGTGGATTGAGGAACGAATCACAAGTTATTCAGTGCGAACCCACGTTTCAGTATCTGCTGCACACACGGGCGAGTCGAAAAACACATGACCAGCAACACGCTCGTAAAAGGTCCAAAGCTTCGCCATCGTCACCTTATTTTTTGCAGTGAGGGACATGCCACGATGTTGACAGGTGGGAAAAAGAGTTAATTGTTTCAAGCCACGTTTTATCCTTTCTAGAGCAGCATGATATGTTTATCAGCAAAGATACTAGAGACTACTATTTCTTTTTTCATCGTAACAAAGTACTATCTTACGGTGATTAAGGCTCAAGAATAAAACTACTAACTTAGTCTCGTCAATATTCGCGGGTTCTGAAAGTCTGTGTAGCATGCCTGATGATACTTGGTGAAACGTGGCCAGTCAAATTCAAGTGATCGCCCATTACATGTTTGCTGTCAAACAAAGAGTGTAATTTAACCGTGATATCTGACTGCGAAAAAAACCACTTGGTCTCTTTAGTGGGGCTTTGCTGCAACAAGTATAGTTGATCACAGTTTCAAATAAATGAATAATAGCGGTCACAATGTATATTGTCTGGATTCCAGCGTGTAGAATGCTATAGCTCAAGTGAATAATAGTTAGAAATGTTGTTTTCCTCGTCGTTCATTGAGGACCAGAAATGCTCGCTTTCCTGCCTGTGAAACTCAAAGTATAATTATGAAGAGGTGAATGTGGGTAAGGAACGGGATTCGTTCCGGTAAAACGTTGTCGTTCGCTTTGCCAAGACACTATAAGACCACTACATATGTTTAAGAGGACGCTAATGCCAAGTAGGCATAACGACTTGATTTCGTGGTCACTTTATGGAGCTAGACTCCTCTCACAAATAGTTCGCATCAAGCAAAGAATTGTCACTGGTGTTTCTTCTGGATGGAAAAGATATTACTACTGTGGCTCAATCCATTGTATAAAAGAAAGAGGCTGGTGTATGTGGGTGTAATGTGGCTTGCTCTTCCTATGTACTCTCCTTATTGGAAGCAGCGGACGATCTTATACACACACAGGGGGAGAGAGAGAGAGTGAGGAGGGATCTACTATATGCTTATCTAATAAGCGCACACACATGCACATCATCGGCTATCCCATGTGAAATCTAAGCCGAAACGGGAAAGGGCCCTTTTGGAATTATCCTAGCGCCGTTCTTGGTCTTTTCTGTGTAATAAGAGAGCATATAACTTATGCATATTAAGTATGATGAAATGTAGATAAAATCAAGGGATCGGCAAAGAAGCCAAGCGAAATTGACACACAATTAGCGTAGATCGGCCTTTTTCTACAGATTTGACGGAGGTTCGGATGACCTTCTTCCGCTTATCCCGACCCTGATGGAGTACGATTTAGAACATAAACCATGGGGATCTTGACATTGTGGTATGAGTTGTGGAGGTGGAAAAGAAATAGGATGAGATATGCTGAGGCAGTAGATAGATCATGTCGGTTTATGCGGCATACGGTGGACACAAGGCACTCGACGGATCTAACTAATTGCTGATATGAACGTCAATATTGCCTTGAACAGGTTTCTTTTCTCATTTCGAGCTAACCATAAATTCAAGGGAGTGAGAGAGAGGGCAAAGCTGTTATGTGAATACGTAGTATGCAAGGCACAACTCTAATCAGAGAAATATCGCTTGAGCTTACTGCAAGATGCATAATGAAAAAGAAAATGCGCCTTCTTCTTTTTATATAAAAAAAACGTGGTGATATTTATAGAATCCTTCTTCATAGCAACCGAATGGAAAGAACTCAGACGGGTCCAAACTGTATTCCAAATTTGGATGCACACCTCTCTATTTGGCTTTTCGAGACACGAACCAAAAAAAAAAAAAGAAAAGAACCAGACAGGGCTTCCTTTCCTCTTTCTCTCTTTCTTTCCTTTACCACTGTCTCTTCTCCCTTCCCTTTTTTTTTAAAAAGCCACCACATCCCTTCGTCCTCCATCATCTCGGCCATCTCGAGCGCAACGTAGTATATAGAAAAAGAACACCATGGCTTCCAATAAAGGCGATGATATCCAAATGTCCTCCAGGGATGAAAGCAGCCAGTCCTTCCTGCCCAATCCCGCCACGGCTAGAGCAGAAAAGAACCATCCTTTGCCACTCATTGCTGCCGTAATCGCCTTTTACTTTGTCATCTCGCTCTCCGTTGTTTTCCTCAACAAAATCATCATGAGTGGCTCCGATTTCCCTTATGCTCTCTTTGTGACTTGGTATCAAATGGTCGTCGCTCTTGTTTTGTTGCTCATTTGGGCCCATCTCGGCAAAACGTAAGTTTAAAAGTTCTATTTGTGTGTAATATTGGCAGCGGAAAGGAAGGCAGTGTTTTAGTGTTGGCTTTGTTGGTGTACATATCTATATATGTCTCGGTCGGCTATCTTTAGGATTGTAGCTGATATTATACTTTTTTGATATGGGCTTAGCAATCGACTTTTCAGCATCATCCCACCTTATGAGTTTGATACGACTATTGCAAAGCGCGTGGCACCTTTAACCTTTGTCTATGTCATGATGCTTGCATTGAACAACCTTTGCTTGAAATATGTCGAAGTCACCTTCTATCAGGTAAATCAAATCATTCAAGAGGCGTTATTTATGGGGGGAGAAAAGACGAAAGGAAAAACACGGGAAGAGGCATCTGGCGGCAGTGGACAGGGGAACATAAGAGAACGTACCGAGTGAGAGGAACCAATGCTAAAGAAGAAACTTTCAATGATCCGTAGGTTGCTCGCTCCTTGTCCATCAACTTCACCATTCTCTTCACCTACTTGATTCTTGGCAAGACCACGTCGATGCCCGCCATCATCGCCTGTGTCATTGTGTTCCTCGGCTTTGCCATCGGTTCATACGGTGAAATCAACTTTTCATGGGCTGGTATCTTTTATGGTGTCGGTTCGTCCGCATTTGTCGCGTTGTACGGTATCTACGTGCAAAAGACGCTGGCCGTTGTCGATAACAACCAATGGTAAAGTAACCAGAATTCATTTGGGGAAGCTTAAGAGAAGAAGAGGTTTACTATGGGGAGACGCAAAAACAGAGACCTTGTATGACTTATGTACACTACTTGGAAAATAATAGGAAACTTCTCCACTACAACACCACCCTCGCCATCATCTTTTTGTTCCCCTTGGTCCTCTTCTCTGGTGAATTGTCGGAGATCTTGACCGTTTCCGAGGCAATTTACGATACGGGCTTCTGGATGCTGATGGTATGTTTAAGATTAGACGGATTTAGGAACAAATGCTATAGTGGAGTGCATTGAGAAGCTTATCTCTTTTATGATTCTAGACCTTGACTGGTGTCACAGGCTTCGGTATTAACATTGCCATGTTCTTGCAAGTCAAGTACACTTCTGCCCTGACAAACACCATTTGCGGCACTGCCAAGGTATAAAATTATACAGCGCACATTTACTGTCTAATAGAAGATGAGCGCATAGATTGCTGACGGTCGAATATGATAATTGTTAGGCATGCGTTCAAACCATTCTTGCAGCCATGATCTTCAGAAACCCCATCTCCGATATGGTAAGTGAGACTTTGTATGCATGCTGGAAGGAAACGAGGATAGATACTTATGTCACAATTGTTATATGCAGAATGGACTTGGTATCTTGCTTGCCCTGTTTGGCTCGGGCTACTATGGTTATGTGCGATACCAGGAACGACAGGCCAGAAACTAAATTAATCCCCACACACACACACACACACACATATTACTTCTTGTATTTCATACATCACTTTTAAAAAAAATATTCTGTCAGTGTTCTTTCCGCACCCCGCCTCTCTCTCTCTCTCTCTCTCTCTCTCTCTCTCCATCGCCCTTCCAACAACAACGACAATGACGATTTTGTCTGTAGATAACACAACATATAAACTTTTTTTTTATTTTTACGTTTGATTCCGCCTTCAGTGTGTGTGTGTGTGAGAGAGTCACACAAGTGCATCGTCCTGTAATATAATGTGTAGGAGTATAAATAAGGGCGTTTCCTTGCAAATCGGGTGTTCTTTAATCTCCAACTTCCTTTTTTCCATACACGGCAACACAATGGCAAGCAATGTCCCCATCATTAAGGTAAAGCCAAAACGCGTCTCTCCAGGAAACATTCGTTCAATAGCTTCTTTTTTGTTTCGAACGACTGAACTAACTCTCTTCTTTCCTCCAAACGATTTGTTTTAAAAGCTTAACAGCGGTTATGACTTTCCAGCTATAGGCTATGGTACCTTTGGCGGTCCACATGCTCCCGAACAGGTGTATCACGGAACAAAGCACGCTTTGGAAGCGGGCTATCGTCATATCGATACGGCCTATGTCTGTAAGTTATCTTTTTCAAGGAAACCAGCCTTTGTGGCAACAATGGCTTGTTTAACTGACCGTGACCATGAATACATATTGCACATTATCATTTTGCTTACTAGATGAAACCGAAGAAGCTGTTGGCAAAGCTGTCCGCGAAAGCGGAATTGACCGCAAGGATATATTTATCACCACCAAGCTTTTCCAAACGTTCCATGAGCCCAAACACGTCCGGCCCGCTTTTGATATTTCGCTCAAGTTGCTAGGCGTCGAGTACGTGGATCTGTATCTCATGCACTGGCCTTTTGCTTGGGAATTCCATGGTTATTCCTTTGACGATATAAAGGGCCACAAGGATGAAAACGGCCATCGAAAGAGAATCGATGTGTCGATCGTAGATACTTATCGTGCCATGGAGGAATTGGTCAAGGCTGGTGTTGTCAAGAGCATCGGTATAAAACTTTCCCATGCAAGATCATCCAACGGAGACAGAAAATATAAGGTTTTCTTAATTTTTATCCCTAATCACCGATTTATACATTTGCGCTTTATATAGGTGTTTCAAACTTTACCATTCCCATGCTAGAGCAAATCTTAAAAGAGTGTGACATCCCTCCTGCCGTGAACCAGGTACGTATACCATATTAAAGACTATTATTCTAGGGCATAGTACTGAGTAAATTGTATGTGTTTCTAGGTCGAGATCCATCCTAGTCTTCCACAAGAAGAATTATTGGCGTGGTGCAAGGAGCACAACATCGTTTTGACAGCCTACTCGCCTCTTGGTAACCCCGGCCATCGTGGCCAACCTGCCATGATGGATCATCCTGCTGTAAGTTTGTATTTTGTCATCCTGATACCGGCAGTGTAAAAAAATAAAAAAAATAGACTCACCGGGGAGCAAACTTTCAAGGTCTTGAGCGCAGCCAAGAAATACAATGTGTCGCCAGTTCAAGTTTTGCTCAACTGGGGCGTTTCGCGTGGCTATACAGTGATTCCCAAATCCGTCACTCCTGAACGTATCAAGGCTAACCTTGCTCGCATCGAGATGGATAAGGATGATATCGAAGCGATTGCCAGCATTGGTCGTGAGCATCCTCATCGCATTTGGTAAGTAACATAAGAAAAGGGATGGAGGCCTTTATACAGGTTTATGCTCAACTTGTCATCCATCTCATGAAACCTTTATAAAATGTTTAGTGATCCTATAAAGATTTTCGGTCCAGCGTTTAACATCTTTGATTAACGCTGTTACAAAGTGATACGGCTTCTTTTCGAGATAAAGAGGCCCTTCATCATCAGTTTTACAGCTTGTATTGTCATATCCACTCTTCCTATAAAGTTGCGCATCTCTAATTTGAAAAATTGTGTTTTCCCTCTATATAAGAAAGGCCTTCTTGATGGTTCAAGTACTTTGTACTGCCATAGTATTGTTTGTAAAATACAGGATAATAGACCGAGAAATTCTGTATCAAATATTCCTTTGTTATTATCATTATCACAGTACTATTATTTATAATGAGCGATATTTCAAATAATTGTTTAAAATACGGCTATTGCAACGACAGGAGCATCATCAAGGCAAAAGCAACTTGCGGAAGACAAGCCAAGGATCGAGACTTTATTTCGCTGCAGCATCATCGTGCCCCGGAGAATATACAATGCAGCATTGGATTTAGGCTTTCACATAGACATTTACAGGAGCATGGTATTGAATTTCGGCGTAGATGTCGTGTATCACCTCTTTGTTGGTATATTTTCTTTGGAACGCTGCTATATACTGTTGTATCAGACACTGGTCGAGAGTATTACTACGTACTAAGCTTTAAAAACCGTACTTTTATCAACCATGTATTTTCATATAGAAAGAGATGTAGCTAGAGCAGCTTGCATATGTATGTTTCTTAATTTCCATTTGGCCGCTTTATAAGAAGCGGATGTCAGAATATATTGGTTTTTTTTTCAATCAAGTACAGTATACATAAGGTTAACAACCAGAACGTACGTCATGGATAATACGCTAAAACGTCTCTCATCAGTCACGCAACATTACATATTATGCTGTACAGTCAGCAGGGATCAATACATAGTAGGTTCCTAAATTTGTATTGTTTTATAACTGTAGATTCTTTTATTCAATGACAAACTGTTGGTCGGGAGCGAAATAGTCAGAAAAGAAATAGGACGTGTTGGTTATATGGCAGTTTCCAATTGCCTTGTAGTGGCCATTGTCCAGTTGTTTTACGATAGGGCAACGTGGTGACCGACCATACTGAATCCCAGAAAGCAGCACATAATTTGACAAAGGATCAAATGGCTCCGTAACATCGAAAAAGATTTTCGTATAACCATCGCCATTATGGTAGAATGTAGACCGGTGGCTCCAAAGCAGGTTTTCTTGTTTGATCGAAAAGAAATGTGATAGTAGCTGAAGATCGTGAGCGAGCTCATCCAGGTCGCTGTAAACGTACTCTCCTGGCATCATTTCTGGACAAAAGTCCTCCTCTATTGGAATCTGTCCAAGCATCAAGTTCTTTGTGATGTTCAAGCCAGGTAGTTCTACTGTAAGGAACAATGTGCTTTGTTCCCAGTTACCGGGATCCCTCGGTGGTAGTTTACTGAACGTCAACCCAGTGTGAAATAGAGTGTTAATGTTGTATGATGAAACTCCACCACAAGTAAAACGCATATATTTTCCAACGATACTGTAGTCACGGACACTGATTTCTCTTTCCTTGGCATATTCACCAGTGTAATGTGTACCGTCTATGCCTGTCCACGATGGCAAAAGCTCCTTCAATTTTCGGAATGACGCCGTACTATCGCCTGGTCCGTTTTCATTCGCCCCAAAGAACAAAATGGAGATATCTTTTTTCGCCAAAAGGCAGTAAAACTGGAGTAGTAAAAGCTCCAAGGGCTGGTCGTAACTGATAGTGATTTCGTCCATGATGTCTGGAAATAGATTAGCAAGCGCAAATACACGGTCGTATTCGTTACTGCTCGCTCGCTTATGGGCATAGTGTAAAATCGTGCTAACGTTCCATTGTCGTGCTTCGCCAGAACTGTTGCACATGCTAGATAGCTCTTGAACATTTGCTGCGCTATACCACCAGCTATGTACATTTCGTCCGACAAAAAGCAATCGCTGAGACATGAACGCCTCTTCCAACGTCCAAAGTCGTTTGTACCATTCGGATTGCGTTATTGAAGCAAATTTCGGAAAAACAAAATCCCTGCCCATGCCGCCGTCATCCGCATGGAATTCAGGCACCAGCGCCACGGTGCAATAAGCATTGGTGTAAATCTGATGCATCCGGTGTATCTCCCGATACTTTTCCTCCTTATCATCTTGATTGATACACATTTGGTCGTACCAAATATACTTGATATTGAAATCCTTGCATATTTGCTGGATAATGCCTTCGAACTGAACGTGTTTGCTTTTGGCTGGAATGCGTTTCCGTCCTCGCGGATGTTGTCGTATGGATCTGGCAGGAAAGACAATTTTGTGTTTGCCTCGGTCGACTCGTTTGGTTATTCCTGACGTTTTGTCTTGGATGAGATCCCCAGACCAGCTCCACGAATAAGACAAGGCGCAGTAACCTTCATGGACCATCGAGCCTTGTACTACCTGCATGTCGGATGTACGGACAAGTAGGCTGGGCATAAACTCTGGCCTTGGTAGGCTAAAAAATTGTCTCGGCGGCTGGTTGTATTGAGCAAGGCTTATGGGTCCTTTATGATGATCGCTGTACTGTTTGGTTTTGTATATGAAATACATTCTTATCTACAAAGAATTAAAGATTATGATTGCTATGGTTTAGTATTAACAGTATTAAACACTGCTAATAGTCTTCTTTGTCTGCAAGCTTTACCGATGATAATAAATGTCTAAACGTATTTGTTATCTGCCCAATTCTTTTACAGTGCAAGCTCGTCTAGTTTATCCTTGTAAAAACAGTAGAGTGGCAAATTAAGAATTCTCGAAAAATACTGACAGAGAGGAAAAATCTACCAGATAAAAGTTATAAAGGATTCGAAAGCTAAAGAAAAGCACGGTCAGTCCATGAGTTTGATCAGTGGCGGTGTATACACTATTTTTGTCAAACGTATACCTTTTAAGTCAGAACCTCCGTAATGTTTCACAGGTACGTAGTCAGAGAATGACGAGACACGTATATTTTAGGCTAAATGGCGCAGTCAACAAAAAAAAGTTCACAGTATGTTACTGCTAAGCAATACCTCACATAGAGTCAACAATACCTAAATAGTGGATTTTTTTTGAGCGAGCTGGAACTCATTAATCAGTTGGATAGAGGACTGTTTTTATATGTACATTATATCTGTTGCAGCACTGCTCTTAAGCAACGAAAGAAACGTGACAGAGGCAGTCCATATTATGGATATAATTTAGCCCTGATATTATTGTTTCGCTACTACATAAGTTACCGTTATGACTTCACGCGGCCAACAAACTGAGCTAGAAGATCAACGCGCCTATTAAATCTACTGTGTGATATACAAACCGTAGAGTATTATGATAACAAATCGTCGAAACCAGGAAAACGCTCAATATCATAATTTCTGTACTTGCTTGATCCTTCCCAATACAATAAGCGAGTTGCGTAAAAACATGTGTGAGCTCAACATTACCAGATTTTTATACCATAAAATAAAATCATAGTCATATGTAAGTGTTAAGGAGCCGATGGGACTACTGCAGTACTATTATATATTACCAAAGCTACTTCCGGGCTAGAAGCAGTGTGCTCATGTATGCCTAAAAAAATACAAATATAAGAGACGACTGTGTCTTAACTGTTTAGGAGGAGTATCAGCTTAGGCACAGAAATGCTTGCTTAAATGGGCCATCTGCTGTTAAATTGTCTATTGCTACATCATGTCTTCCTCCTCTACATACTCTGAACAGTATTTGTATTCTTACTTCTGTCGTCAGCCACGACACAGGCACTTCAATTATCGTGACGTTGAGGAGCTGAACCTGTCAGTATACTACGTCTAATCATGAAAGTGTCTTGAGGACTGCACCAAAAGATGACTTTAGGCTGGTAGATTACTAAAAAAAATATGCACAACGCTCTGCAGGGCACGGAGTAGCAGCCTGTGGTATACTTTGGATGAATAAATGTTGAAGCACGCTAAGAAATCTCAGTTATTTTGCAACACTCACACCAAAGCTGCGTAGCTTAAACGTACATGCATCATCTACACATTTCCAAAATGTCGTCACGCATGTCTTCCAGCGTTTGTGTTATTATTTCACATATAGGCACTGATCCATACTTAATAGCTCTCTTCCACAGCGTTATTCTTCATATAGAATCCCGCCGTTGAATTTCCGGATCAAAATGACAGTAGTATCAGTCTATTAAGTAGGATGCCTTAGCGACAGGACTTCCCGGATTATATATCGACATATCATGGTATAAGAAGCTTCTGACTACCAATTTACTGCGCTTTGTCTCTACCATGTGCTAATTTCGATCGGGAGGAAAGGAATTCGTTGCATGACTCTTATACAATCTCACGACACGACATCTAGATAGCAAGTATTACATATGTAGCCGTTACATTATACGTTCCAATATGCCCACCCTTTCCTCTTCGCCTTCAGCTCCTTGTTTCCTCTACATTCGTGAACCAAAGGAAGCATTTCTCTTTAAAAACAGTGAAAACTACTGGCATACCTTATAGACTTCGAACGTTTTATATAAATACGTCAGGCCTATAAGATAATTTGAATAATTCAAAAGTGGAAGCGGACGATTCTCACAAGATCTCAAAAGTCCAGTGGTAATAATTCGATCGTTGCTGCTAACAGATGCCTGTGCATATCTTGACTACCCTGACTTGTGGCTAACAACATTTGCGGTGTTTATATTGTAAAGTTACTGTTAACATCGTATTATGTAATCACCAAGTTCCCTTCTCGCTGACGCACTGGCCAAGAAACCTTGACACGGTGCCTGGAAGATCTAAGCGGAGACCCGTATGTGAAACATTCCACGCATAAAGCGACGCCATAGCAGCGCCATATAACGATGACAACAATAGCACTCGTCCTTCATTGCCCCTTCTACTTGTTCACTTTTTTTCCCTAACGAGTATCTTTTCTACGCTCAAAACGAGCAAAAAAAAAGTTGTTACGTCACGCGTTCAGCGGGATTTCAATTGTTTTTGCTCTCATGATCATAAAAAGAGTCGTTTTTCCTTTTTTTTTCTTCTTCACCCGCGTTTTTCAAGTTACCATGTCCCACATGAGCGAATCTTCCAAGTCCTCCAAGTCTCACAAGAGCAAGTCGCGCAAGAGCAAGTCGCGCAAGACAAGCAGTAAGTCAATCCCCTCAAGCATGACGATGCCCACCATCACCATCCCCAGCATGACGATGCCCACCTTCACCATCCCCAGCATGACGATGCCGAGCAAGAACCAATGCGGTTTAGCCGCTTTCCGCACCGTTGTTGCCCTCATTTTCCTTCTCGTCAATTTTGCCCTTGCCTTTATTGTGAGATTCGCAGTGTACCACCCCTTGTGGGCCTGCTTTATCAGTGCAATGGTCATCATTTTCACCGTCCCGGGTTACGAGAATGCGCGTTACGATGTGATCTTTGTTGCTAAGATTGCTGTTCTTCTGGCTTGCACAGTTGTGCTTTTCGTTACTTTCGTCTTGTGGAAGCTCGTCAACCACTTCCATCCGTTGCCTCCCATCACATTCTCGCTCAAGTCCGTCCTACCGTACCTCTGCCCCGATTCCTCGCCGCGTCCCTTCCCGCCACCTCCTCGATCTGACGATGATCAGGAGCTAGGTGCTGCCACAGAGCGCGTGTGAACAAAAAAAAAGTACGACGACGAGAAAGCCGCGAAGGACGACGCATTCCGCGCACAAGTACGACGACGAGAAAGCCGCGAAGGACGACGAATTCCGCGCACAAGTACGACGACGAAGCCGCGAAGGTCGATGCCGCGCAAAGTACGACGACGAGAAAGCCGCGAAGGACGACGAATTCCGCGCACGAGTACGACGCCAAAGCCGCGAAGGTCGATGCCGCGCACAAGTACGACGACGAGAAAGCCGCGAAGGACGACGCATTCCGCGCACAAGTACGACGACGAGAAAGCCGCGAAGGACGACGAATTCCGCGCACGAGTACGACGCCGAAGCCGCGAAGGTCGATGCCGCGCAAACGTACGACGACAAGAAAGCCGCGAAGGACGACGCATTCCGCGCACAAGTACGACGCCGAAGCCGCGAAGGACGACGAATTCCGCGCACAAGTACGACGCCGAAGCCGCGAGGGAGGTGCCGCGCAAAGTACGACGACGAGAAAGCCGCGAAGGACGACGCATTCCGCGCACAAGTACGACGCCGAAGCCGCGAAGGTCGATGCCGCGCAAACGTACGACGACAAGAAAGCCGCGAAGGACGACGAATTCCGCGCAAACGTACGACGAAGAGAAAGCCGCGAAGGACGAATTCCGCGCACTATGCCACCTATGCCCACCTATGCCCACCTATGCCCACCTATGCCACCTATGCCACTTATGCTGTCTTCGTCCCTTTTTCCTGGTGCTGTCCATCACTTTCCGCCGTTACTGCCGTCGTCTCCATTTGCTCCGCTTTTTTTCTTCTTGTTTTCCGGTGTCTGTTTGCGTGCGTTCTGCTGGGGTAAATATTCGATCTTGTGTTGAGCCCTATTTGCTTGATCTGCATAGAATACTAACCAATAATATTATCATCTCGTTTCAAGTAGAGCGTACTCTGTTGTTCGGTGGTGTCTGGCGGTTTCCGCCTTCGTCGGGCGTTGGGGAGCGGTCCGGCCATCCCAGTGGATGTTTCTTCGAGGTAAAGGCAGGATTGAGTTGGCAGTGGCAGTGGCACTGCTACAGCCACCGGGGGTTGAAGGGATGTGGGGGGGCACATGGGGATAGCGATGATGGTAGAGCCGGTGGTGGGGAGGGGAACAACGCTCTGGTTGTGTAGGCAGCAGGAATATACCATCGTGTCACATGTACAGCGGCGATTCTTGACAGCAAATGACAACCCAAGGCGCCGAGCTTGTATAATTACGGTACGTACTATGCTTTCTTTAATACCTACAACCATCTTTATAAGAAGAGGCTTACTAACTGATATATCCTTTTTCCTTTCATTCTTTCCTTCTTCGTACTGCATTCAACTCGGATGTGGTTTGAAGAAGGCTACTAGAAACTTAAGGAATTTATTCCTTTCCCAGGGTTGTCATTCCAGTCAGTTCCAGCTCATGTGGATGGTGTTCCTGCAGAAGTCCTACCTGTACCAGGGCAATGTTGTTCCTCCAATCCCCGCCACCCGCTCAAACCGGAGTTATCCTCGCCCTTTCCATGTCCTGGATCCCCCACCGGTTGTAGTCAGTGTCATGTCATGTAAGTCCAACTCCTTCCTTCACCTTTGCCTTGGGGATTCCTGAAGCTGGGGTGTCCGGACTGGGGTGTTTGGCCAGCGGTGTGTGGTACGCCGCGATGGAAAGTGTCAGCTTTCCAGGCTAGCCGAGTAAAAACTTCGGGGTGTTGTGAGAATCCCGTCTTTGGCTTGATCACATCGTCTCGTGTGGTGTTGGTGGATGAATCATGGTGATTATGCTGCTACAGGTGGCGTCAGACTTCCAGGGCTTGGTTTCGAAACGAGGATTGACAGAATCCCGTCTTTGGCTTGATTATGCCATCTCATGTGGTCTTAGTGGATGAATCTGACGGAAAGTCATGGTGACTATGCTGCTACGGGTGGCGTCAGATTTCCAGGCTAGCCGAGTAAAAACAACCTCTTTTACTTGGTGTCGGTTCGAGGATAGACAGAATCCCGTCTTTGGCTTGACCATGCCGTCTCCTATGGTATTGGTGGATGAATCTGACGAGCAGTCATGGTGGTTATGCCGATACAGGTGGCAACAGATTTCCGGGGCTTGGTTTCGAATCGAGGATTGGCAGAATTCCGTCTTTGGCTTGATCAGTCTATTGGCAGCACATTATCAAATACACAACATGCGAAATTTCTTTGTCGGTTTTTTTCTGATCTGACGTTCTTGATCATTACAACAACACCAACGACAGCGACAACGACATCGAACAAGCGTGCGTCCAAGGACAAGCAACATCCATTCAAACGACGAATCGACATATTAGGGAAGGAGCAGATTTACTATCTACTGGTGATGCTATGGCGACAAGTACTTTTCAAACGGATGCGGGTATCTGCACTCAGATCCTCATCAAAAG